GGGGCTGGAGGAGGCGCCGAGGGTTATTTCGTTCCGATCGTACTTAAGGACCACATCCCAGAAATAATTCCGAGCACACAGACAAGTATCAAATCATCCAGGCGAAGGACCCAACAATAGGCAGTTGTGAGTCACGCAATGATAAATACTGTCCTCGGTGGAGCTCCCTATGGTGCCACGAACCTTGCGAGGGCTGCGCCGACATGGGGGTGGAACTGCATGCGAACTCTGCCGCTGGGGCCTTCGGTGGAGCTCTCCATGGGGCCACGAACCGTGTAAGGGGTGCGCCGAAACGGGGGTGGAACTGCATGCGAACTTTGCCACTCGGGACCTCGGTGGAACTCCCTAGGGGGCCACGACCGTGTGAGTGGTGCGCCGAAATGGGGGTGGAACTGCATGCGAACTTTGCCGCAAGGGCCTTCGGTGGATCTCCCTATGGGGCCACGAACCGTGTGGGGGGCGCCGACATGGGGGTGGAACTGCAAGCGAACTTTGCCACTGGGGCCATGGGGCCACGAACCGTGTGATGTGTGTGCCGAAATGGGGGTGGAACTGCATGCGAACTTCGCCATTGGGGCCCTCGGTGGAGCTCCATATGGGGCCACGAACTGTGTGAGGCGTGCGCCGGAATGGGAGTGGAACTGCATGCGAACATTGCCATCGAGGCCTGCAGCAAAGCTCCCTATGGGGCCACGAACCGTGTGAGGGGTGCGCCGAAATGGGGGTGGAACTGCATGCGAACTTTGACACTGGGGTCTTCGGTGGAGCTCCCCATAGGGCCACGAACCGTGTGAGAGGTGCGCCGAAACGGGGGTGGAACTGCATGCGAACTTTGCCGCTGGGGCCCTCGGTGGAGCTCCCTATGGGGCCACGAACCGTTGAGGGGGGCGCCGAAATGGGGGGAACTGCAAGCGAACTCTGTTACTGGGGCCTTCGGTGGATCTCCCTATGGGGCCACGAACCGTGTGAGTGGCGCGCCGAAATGGGGGTGGAACTGCATGCGAACTTTGCCGCTGGGGCCTTCGGTAGATCTCCCTATGGGGCCACGAACAGTGTGAGGGCTGCGCCGAAATGGGGGTGGAACTGCATGCGAACTTTGCCGCTGGGGCCTTTGGTAGAGCTCCATATGGGCCACGACCGTGTGAGTGGTGCGCCGAAACGGGGGTGGAACTGCATGCGAACTTTGTCACTCGGGCCCTCGGTGGAACTCCCTATGGGGCCCCGACCGTGTGAGGGTTGCGCCGAAATTGGGGTGGAATTTCATGCGAACTTTGCCGATGGGGCCTTCGGTGGAGCTCCCTTTGGGGCCACCAACCGTGTGATGTGTGTGCCGAAACAGAAACATTCAAGGGGCAGAGGCAAGGAGAGGGAGGGGAGGCAGCGGGAGGAGAAGGAAGGAGGACGCGGGCGCTGTCTCTTCAAAACGAGGGCCCAACACCACAGGATGGTTGGGAAAAACAGTATGGAACGAGTATCAACCCCGAGGGCCCGACACGTGAAACCTCTCCAGTTTCGGCACTTTCCAGGTGCTCGAAATTCTGTCTGGTGATCAAGGCGAAAGTACGTTGGAACATCAGATCCCTATGATGAGCATCGCCCCCGATCTAGAAGAAAAGAAACCGCATACACACAAACTGTTGGCGCTCCGCGCGGATTTCTTGGATCTGCGCTGCACCCCCCTCCCTGGCGCGCGGAGCGCGCCAGGGGCGGCGCTGGAAGCGCACCGAGAGGGCCCAGCGCGGATCCAAGAACTCCGCGCGGAGCGCCAAACGTCTATGTTCACGCCGTTTTTCCTTCGAATATCGACGCCCCCTCTCTTGCCATCGCTCGGACGTCAGTTCCCTGTGCCTTTTTCGGTCCCGTGCGTGTTTCTGTCTGCTCGCTGACCCAGGATGCTCCTCCAGGGCCCTCGCCGGGAAAAGAGGCACACGTCCGAGCGCTGCCAGGCTCTCGCCACTCGGGTCGGGCGAAAAGGGGGGATAGCAAAGGGAGGGGGGGGGGTGAGAATCGGCTCACGTAGTTGATTTTCCCGCCTCCCGGCGCCGGAGGCGGCTATGTATCGAGAATGGGCCCCTCGGTGAAGCCGAAACTAGCTGCATGCAGCAAATTTCGTCACCCCCCCCTTCCCAATCCCCCCCTTTCGCCCGACCCGACCCACCCCCCCTGGCGTCTCCCCCCTGGCCGCAGCCGCGGGCCGAGCACGGCCGGAGGCGCGCGGCCGGGGGGGGGGGCCGCACGCACGGCTCCTCCTCCTACTCCTCCTCCTCCTACTCCTCCTCCTCCTCCTCCTCGCTCCTCCTCCTCCTCCTCCTCGCTCCTCCTCCTCCTCCTCCTCGCTCCTCCTCCTCCTCCTCTCGCTCCTCCTCGCTCCTCCTCCTCCTCGCTCCTCCTCCTCCTCCTCCTCGCTCCTCCTCCTCCTCGCTCCTCATCCTCCTCCTCCTTCTCGCTCTCCTCCTCCTCCTCCTCCTCGCTCCTCCTCCAGGCCGCCCCATCGCCCCGCCTCCGCGCTCTCGGGCAGCCGCACGCACGGCGCCCCCGCCGCCGGCGCGGGCCCGACCGCCGCGCCCGGGCCTCTCGGCGGCCTGCCCGGCGAGCGGAGGGACTGCGGTCGTCGTCGTCGCCGTCGTCGTCGTCGTCGTCGTCGTCGTCGTCGACGTCGTCGTCGGCGACGTCGTCGTCGACGTCGTCGTCGACGTCGTCGTCGTCGACGTCGTCGTCGACGTCGTCAGCGTCAAGGACGTCGTCGACATCGTCGTCGTCGTGGACGTCGTCGACGTGGACGTCGACGTCACCGTCGTCGTGGACGTCGTCGTCGTCGTCGTCGTCGTCGTGTCCGTCGTTGTCGACGTCGTCGTCGTCGTCGTGGTGGACGTCGTCGTCGTCGTCGTCGTGGTGGTGGTGGACGTCTTCGTCGTCGTCGTGGACGTCGACGTCGCCGCCGTCGTGGACGTCGTCGTCGTCGTCGTCGTCGTCGTCGTCGTCGTCGTCTCCGTCGTTGTCGACGTCGTCGTCGTCGTGGACGTCGACGTCATCGTCGTCGTCGTCGTCGTCGTGGTGGACGTCTTCGTCGTCGTCGTGGACGTCGTCGTCGTGAACGTTGACTTCGCCGTCGTCGTGGACGTCGTCGTCGTCTCCGTCGTGGTCGACGTCGACGTCGTCGTCGTGGACGTCGACGTCGTCGTCGTCGTCGTCGTTGTGGACGTCGCCGTCGACGTCGTCGTCGTGGACGTCGCCGTCGACGTCGTCACCGACGTCGTCGTCGTCGTCGCCGTCGACGTCGTCGTCGTCGTCGTCGGCGACGTCGTCGGCATCGTCAGCGTCGGCGTCGTCGTCGACGTCGTCAGCATCGACGTCGACGTCGTCATCGTCGTCGTCGTGATCTTCGTCGTTGCCGACGTCGTTGTCGACGCCGTCGTCGTCGTGGACGTCGACGTCGTCGTCGTCGTCAGCAACGTCCGTCGTCGTCGTCGTCGACGTCGTCGCCGCCGTCTTGGTCGTCGCAGTCGCCGTCGCCGTCGTCGCCGTCGTTGTCGTCGTCGTCGTCGTCGTCGCCGTCGCCGTGGTCGTCGTCAGGGTCGGCGGCACCGGCTGTAAGGCCTTCACAATACAGTTGGCCCGTATCATAAGGATGCGCGATTCGGATGCAAGTGCCTTGGAAGGCCATGTCACATTTTTTCGAGTGGGGCGCGGCCAGCGAAAGTGGCCAAGAATGGACCGAGGAGGGAAGGATGCAAGGGTGCCCTTGGGAACGTCGCTCATCCTTACCATGCGGGTTGACTGCACCTACCAATTTACCCCAACCAAGACAAAACGAAGACCAAGACACAACTGGGTGAGGATCAATCTGGAATCTCTGAGATCCGGCGGCTCTGGAGGACGTCTCGGGCGCCGCGGCCTTCTAAGAGCGTGCCGGGACGCTCTGCGAGCGTTCCGGAAAGCTCTGGAACGGATTTGTCCTCGTCCTAGCCCCGCTCGACCAGCCCAACCCGATATCACCGTGGGGCTCGTCGGTTTCCAAAAGGGGGGGAGCTCCAGAACCTCGAGGAAACACGAGGGAACCCGTACACCCCCCAACCCAGAATTTGGGGTGGTCTAGGGCCTTCGGGTTGGGTGGGAGTGACTTGGTGCTCAGTGACGGGCGGGCGGGCGGGCGGGAGAGGGAGAAAGAGGGAGAGGGCCGCGCATGTCGGATGTGCATTGGCAGAGGGGCTGCGTTTCCTCAGGCTCTGGCGAGTGGAATTGCATGGGGCGTGGCGAGGCCCGAACGGAAATTTGCATGACACGCAAGTCGGGACTCACGTGCACGTCTTTTGGGCCCAGCGCTGTTTGGAAAGGAGGTGAAGGGGGGTGGGAGGGACGGCGAAGTGCCATGCAAGCAGACTCGTCAGAATCTAAAGAAACGCATTCAAAGCGGTGAGACAATATTCACTGCAGGTGGCGCGGCTGTGAAACAGTGAGGCGCCATGCAAAAACGACATATATCCATGAACGCCTCCCAGGCATGCGACGTCGCTGTTGTTTCTCAACCTGGCTCCCGAAAGGTCTGGAACCCTTCCCGGGGACTGGCTCTTCGTCCCGAAGCGTTATTTGACGGTCGCGTGGCCCCGTCAGGGCCCCCAAAACAGCCGCTGTGATTTTTCCTAGACGCGAGCCAGAACATCCGATGTTCTGACTCTTGTCTTTCGATACGGGGTCCCTGGAAGTCCCGACTCTTTCCCCAGGGCCGACGTGTCCTCCCGAGTCATCACAGAGCCTAGCGACATCCCCTAAAAGCCGAAAACGGCCACAACCCTCGGACTTGCTTCCTCAACATGCTGCTGGCGGCGCGTACAAGTAGGTAGGGGGAAGGGGGAAGGCTTCTTGGAAGGAGGCTGCGTCTTAGAGGGCGCCAGCCCTGCATCTGCAAACAGAGCCCGCGCCCTCAAAGAAGCCGGGGTGCTTCTGAGAAGCCTTCCCCCCTCCCCTGCCCCCTCTGCTGATGGCTGGCCGAATGCTTCGGACCTGGGAGGGTGTCAGGGCCTCCGCCCGACCTCGGGGTCACCGCCGGGAGAGCCCGCGCCCCGGCAGCGCATGGGCCTGGAGCTCCCGCGGGCGGCGCCCTGCTGCGCAGCATCCCCGCAGGCCTCGGGAAGCGACCCCCCGCGGGGTGGGGGCGGCGCCAGCGGAGGCGGCGGGCAGCGAGAGGCAGCGGCGCAGAACCATGCAATAGACTCAGTAGACGCCCGCGGCAAGAAATCTTGAGACAAGAGAGAGAGAGAGAGAGAGAGAGAGAGAAGAACCACCGTCACCAGAAGCACCCCGACGAGGGACGCCGTGTCGTGAACGCACGCGAGGAAGGAATCGGCAAAGGCCAGGCTGCTCAGTAAACGCACAGGAATGTCTCGCAAAAGCCCATGAGAAGGCGCTGTGGTGGGCACCACCGTGTACGAAACACTGGTTTTTGTAGCTGGCCCGGCGAGCGGGCGGGTCGGTCGAGCGGGCCAGGGGGCACTGGACAGCGCATTGGGCACGGCAGGGGCGGGACAACATGATTGACCCACGAACCCAGAAAGGGATATAGACATGTGCAGCATGGTCACGTTTTCACGATATCCAACTGGGCGACACCTCACGAAACATCCCACGAGACACCCCGCGATACATCCCACGAGACACCTCACGAAACATCCCACGAGACACCTCACGAAACATTCAACGAGACACCCCGTGAAACATTCCACCAGATACCCCACGAACAGGCAACCACTCAACCAGACACCCCACGAAACATTCCACTGGGGTGCGACTGGGGTGTGGTCGTGCTGGGGTGTGGTCGTGCTGGGGTGTGGTCGTGCTGGGGGGTGGTCGTGCTGGGGGGTGGTCGTGCTGGGGGGGTGGTCGTGCTGGGGTGTGGTCGTGCTGTGGCGTGGTCGTGCTGGGGTTTGGTCGTGCTGGGGCGTGGTCGTGCTGGGATGTGGTCGTGCTGTGGTGAGGTCGTGCTGGGGTGTGGTCGTGCTGGGGTGGGGTCGTGCTGGGGTGGTGTCGTTCTGGGGTGTGGTCGTGCTGGGGTGTGGTCGTGCTGGGGTGGGGTCGTGCTGGGGTGGGGTCGTGCTGGGGTGTGGTCGTGCTGGGGTGTGGTCGTGCTGGGGTGTGGTCGTGCTAGGGTGGGTTCGTGCATTTCGCTCGAGGCATCCTGCCAAAATTAAAAGAAATCCTAAACAAACAAACGAATTAGTCGAGACATCCTCAAGATTTCCTGCGCGCGTCCCGCGAGACATCCTCGGAATTCCTGCGCGCGGGGCGCTTTTCCGCGTCGCGGTCGGCTCTGCAAAACCAGCGTTTCGCTCGAGACATCAACAAATTCTGGAAACAAGCGTTTCGCTCGAGACATCCTTCAATTTTGCAAAACCAGCGTTTCGCTTGAGACATCCTCAACAAATTCTGGAAAACAAGCATTTCGCTCGAGACATCCTCAAAAATTGATCTGCCGGCGCCCTTCGACATCGATATTTATCAAGGAAAAAATCCGCCGGCGCCCCTCAGGTGAGGCACCGGGGACAGGTTTACTTACTAAAAGAGAACCCTGGGCCTACGCCCTTTCCAGGAAAAAGCAAGGCAAGCGCGGGGGCCAGGAGCGTATACAACATACACACGATCCCCAAGCAGTGACTGCGCGCAAAAATTCGCACGTCTGCTCCCAAAGACGTGGATGGGTTCGACGCGGTTTCGAGACGTTGCCGCCCCGAGCCGCCTCATGCGCCGATTTGGTCTGGCGAGGTTTCGCCATGTTGCCGCCCAGTGCCGCTTCGGTGCCGACTCTAGCTTGCACCACGTATATTTGCGTTTTGAAGGAACAACAAAATCCAACCTCCTCCCGAGCCTAGGCTTCCCCCAATGTGTCATGGCATTTCCTGAAGATTGTTCCTCATCGCTCAATCTCCAAACGAACCCACGACATCTTGGCCAACCGGGCATTGCCCCTCGCCACCCTTCATCCCTGGAAAAGAATACAATGCGCGCGCTCGTGTATTCACAAGCTCATGTTTTTCAATAATCCCTTGCAACAGGTGCACAGGGCCACACGCGCACGCATGTCCAAATCACACCACTCACAACTCTTCAATCCATTCTGCCACGGTGCGCATGTGAATCGAGGTGGGCGGCGTGAGCCCATCCTCAGGCGATCTTGCGTCGAGGCATCGTGTCCTCCTGAGCGCAGAAGCTGCTCGCCGTCGTGACAGACTAGCGCGGCATGGGTTTCAGAGGACGTGGAGAAAGTCATTTCCGAAGAAGGGGCAAGCGGGGTGTTCACCCCTGGCGGCCACGTAATTGTTCCATGTGAGTATGCGAAGCAAGATTGCACTCAATAGTGATCTATAACACATGAAAAGAATCCTGGTGGGCCGAAATCTACTCCGCCGCCTCCTGACGCCGTGGTGCAGGATACTTCGGTGGGAAGGGGATCCTACGTGGATTGGGATGCTCAAAACTTTAGGGGCGCCATGGTAGTTTGCCCAGCAGTTAAACAAACCGCCATCAACAAACCATCGGTTCGTCATCTCAAATGTTGGATCTGTTCAGCCCGCGAAGGTTTGCTGCAATCGTGGGCAGCTATTTGATATTCGATGTCCCTTTCAAACTTCGATTTCTCATCTCACCACGCGGTGCAGCCGCGTTCATCCAGCATGTGACCAGTATCCGTATCAAAGAATACCATGTGGACAACACGCGCGCCCCGCCACGCGCGCGTCGAAAACATTCCATTTCACTTGTTTTTTCCCCAATCAGTGCTTGCACTGAAGGGGTCCTAGCGGATATTGAACATGATCGACCCACGAACCCGGAAAGGAATATAGAACTGTAACACATGGCAGCGTTTTCAAAGACACCTGATTGGGTGACGGGCAAATGCAATGCTGAGTGTATCGATCTTGATGTACCCTGCCGAGGGCTGTGCTGTGCTGCGCCGTGCTGAATTGCGATGTGCCATGGCGCGACTGTGCTCTATAGCCTCGTGGATCGAGTCCTCCTTTGCATCCGAGTCCTGACCGAACTGATCTGGATCTTAAGCTCGAGCTGCCTGAACACATAGTAGCTGCCCCAGAGCTAATGGACAGGGGAACATGCCAGGAGGACGCGCCGCGAAACGTCCCAAGGGATGCGCCAGGCGACGTGCCAGGGGACGTGCCATGGGGTCGCACCGCGGGACGTGCCAAGGGGACGCGCTACGGAACGTGCCAATGGATGTGCCACGGGATGTGCCAGGGGACGCGCCACGCGACGTGCCAGGGGGACTCGCCAAAGGACGCCCCACGGAACGTGCCAAGGAACGTGCCAAGTTGCAATGCTGAGTGTATCGACCTTGATGTACCGTGCCGAAATCAGTGCTGTGCTGCGCCGTGCTGAATTGCGATGTGCCATGGCGCGATTGTGCTCTATAGCCTCGTGGATCGAGTCCTCCTTTGCATCCGAGTCCTGACCGAACTGATCTGGATCTTAAGCTCGAGCTGCCTGAACACATAGTAGCTGCCCCAGAGCTAATGGACAGGGGAACATGCCAGGAGGACGCGACGCAGAACGTCTCAAGGGACGCGCCAAGCGACGTGCCAAGGGACGTGCCATGGGGACGCACCGCGGGACTGCCAAGGGGACGCGCTACGGAACGTGCTGGGGACAAGCGTTTCGCTCGAGACATCCTGTCAAAATCATCTGAATTCCTACGCGCGGGACGCTGCACGCGCGAGACATCCTCGGAATTCCTGCGAGCGGGACGTGATAACAAGCATTTCGCCTGAGACATCCTTTGAATTCTGGCCCCCCACAAGGCCACCGCTCGAGACATCCTCCAATTTTGCAAAACCAGCGTTTCGCTCGAGACATCCTCTACAAATTATGAAAAACAAGCGTTTCGCTCGAGACATCCTGTCAAAATCCAAAGAAATCGAAATACCCGCGCGCGGGACGCGGCACGCGCGAGACATCCTCAGAATTCCTGCGCGAGGGGCGCTTTTCCGTGTCGCGGTCGGCTCTGCAAAACCAGCGTGTCGCTCGAGACATCCTCAACAAATTCTGAAACCAAGCGTTTCGCTCGAGACATCCCCAACTCTGCAAAACCAGCGTCTCGCTCGAGACATCCTCAACAAATTCTGAAAAACAAGCGTTTCGCTAGGGACATCCTCAAATTTTAATTCGCCGGCCCTCTTCCCGCTCGTTATTTATCGCAAAAGAAATTCGCCGGCCCTCTTCCCGTCAAACCCGGGGGGAAACCATCTAAAAGAGAACCCTGGGCTCAAGCCCTTTCCGGGAAAAAGAAGGCGAATATTTCACGCCGATTTTGGTGGCAAGCCGGGTTCCCGGGTTCCCGGTTCTGGGTTCCCGGGTTCCCGGTTTTCCGGGCCGATTTCGGTGGGCGGCGAGGTTCCTAGGTTCCTAGGTTCCTGGTCTATCTTCTTATCGATCGGTCTCAGCATCGATCTCACTGCCCACCTCTCTATCGATCTCACCATCGATTTCACAATCGATCTCACAATCGATCTCGCAAGCGATCCCACTAGAGATCGCACGAGTGATCTCGCGATCGATCTCCCTATCGATCTCATTGAATCGATTTCACTCTCGGTCTCACAATCGACCTTACAATCCTCAACTATCGATTCCGCTATCGATCTCATTATCGATCTCACACTCGATCTCAAGATCCATATGACTAATTTTCAAATCATCCGCTGATTGGGTTTTCTCAGGTGCAATTTCGAAACACTTCATTGTAGAAGTCTCCAAACACACATACATATTCATTCGGCAAAGTTTCCGCCAGATTTCTTGCACCTCCTCATCGCCATCCTCACTAGATCACCACCGCCGCCACATCAACGCTGTTCCCTTCATTGCCATTCGACGCCATCATCCGTCAATCACTATCATCAGCGTCGTCATCGTCACAGTGGTCACCAGCATCGTCGCCATCATTAGCCTGGACGTCGTCACCGTCACCATTGCAGCCACCATCGGTACTACCATCTTCGTTGCCGCCGTTGTCGATGTCATCATGCTAGCGCGCCCGCCCGAATCACCGACCCGCACTGAAGTACCCGCGCGCCAGCGCGGTTTTTGAGAAACGCTGAAAACTCCCTTCCGTAAGCGTCATCGCGGCCGCATCGGCTGTGCCAAACCAGCTGGCTGATCCGCGCTCGGGCTTGCGCGCACTAGCGCAGCCGCAGAGATGTGCCAGCCAGTGCCAAGTAGTCACCGTAATCGCGGCCGCATGGGTTGTGCAAAACAAGTTGAGGGTGGAAGGGTGGAGAGATTTCAAGAACAACTGGGTTGACGATTTCAAGTTCTGCAGTGTGGCTCGCAGCACATCGCTTCCACCACATAGCTTACGCAACCACATGGCTTACAACACCGCAAGCGCGGGGCGGTCACTGGGGGTCCCTCGACGAGACGTACCCCGGGTGAGTCCCGAGCGGCCCGGGTCACGAACGTCGGAACTCCCAGGCGGCCACCACAGAGTCGTGATCACTCGGTGGCAGGCTCTGAAACGGTCGCAAGACAATCCAAAGAGACTTCCAAATAGCCGCAAGGTGGTCCAGCAAAGGCCCAAGAGGCCCCTGGGAGGCTGAAAGTGAATGTTTTTGCTAATGCTATTGTTGCGGATTTGCGTCACCGACTTGTCGGGCTTCCGATGGCTCAAGACGGCCCAAGACGCCCCCTAGATCGCCCAGGATAGCCCAAGAGCCACAGGGACGGCCCCGAGACTGCCCAGAGAAGCCCCAAGCTGCTCGACAGCCTTTCCAGAAGGGCCCCGGAGGCCCCCCAAGTCCCCTCCTCCTCCTCCTCCTCCTCCTCCTCCTCCTCCTCCTCCTCCTCCTCCTCCTCCTCCTCCTCCTCCTCCTACTCCTACTCCTACTCCTACTCCTACTTCTCATCCTCCTCCCCCTCCTCCTCCTCCTCTTCCTCCTCCTCCTCCTCCTCCTCCTCCTCGACCGAATCGTTTTTTCCCGCCGCGACGCGGCAGAAAGCAGCCCGCTCGCGCGCTCCGCAGGCCGGGAGGCGCCATGGCGAATGGCCCGGATGCAGAGCGGAAAAGGATGGAGAAGAGGAGCGGCCGCCTGACCGGGAGGAAGGAGGAGGAGGAGGCGGAGGAGGAGGAGGAGGAGGAAAGCGAGGAGGAGGAAAGCGAGGACAAGGAGGAGGAGGAGGCGGAGGAGGAGGCGGAGGAGGAGGAGGAGGAGGAGGAGAAGGAGAAGAGGAGAGATGTGGCAACAAAAACATGATGGACCCACGAACCCGGAAAGGGATATAGACATGTGGAGCATGGGCACGTTTTCACGATACCCAACGGGGCAACACCTCACGAAACATCCCACGAGACACCTCACGAAACATCCCACGAGACACCTCACGAAACATTCCGCGAGACACCTCACGAAACATTCCAGGAGACACCCCGCGAAACATTCCACGAGACACCCCACGAAACATTCCACGACGACAGGCAACCACTCAACCAAGGCGGTGTGGTCGTGCTGGGGAGTGGTCGTGCTGGGGTGTGGTCGTGCTGGGGGGTGGTCGTGCTGGGGGGTGGTCGTGCTGGGGGGGTGGTCGTGCTGGGGGGTGGTTGTGCTGGGGCGTGGTCGTGCTGGGGCGTGGTCGTGCTGGGGCGTGGTCGTGCTGGGGTGTGGTCGTGCTGTGGTGAGGTCGTGCTGGGGTGTGGTCGTGCTGGGGCGTGGTCGTGCTGGGGCGTGGTCGTGCTGGGGCGTGGTCGTGCTGGGGTGTGGTCGTGCTGGGGTGTGGTCGTGCTGGGGTGTGGTCGTGCTGGGGTGTGGTCGTGCTGGGGGGTGGTCGTGCTGGGGGTGGTCGTGCTGGGGGGGTGGTCGTGCTGGGGGTGGTCGTGCTGGGGCGTGGTCGTGCTGGGGCGTGGTCGTGCTGGGGCGTGGTCGTGCTGGGGTGTGGTCGTGCTGTGGTGAGGTCGTGCTGGGGTGTGGTCGTGCTGGGGTGTGGTCTTGCTGGGGTAGGGTCGTGCTGGGGTCGGGTCGTGCTGGGGTGTGGTCGTGCTGGGGTATGGTCGTGCTGGGGTGGGGTCGTGCTGGGGTGGGGTCGTGCTGGGTCTGGTCGTGCTGGGGTGTGGTCGTGCTGGGGTATGGTCGTGCTAGGGTGGGGTCGTGCATTTCGCTCGAGACATCCTGCCAAAATTCCAGGAAATCGTACAAAAACAAAGGAATTAGTCGAGACATCATCGAAATTCCTTCGCGCGGGGCGCTTTTCCGCGTCGCGGTCGGCTCTGCAAAACAAGCGTTTCGCTCGAGACATCCTCGGCAAACTCTGCGGAGCAAGCGTTTCGCTCGAGACATCCTCAACACACGAAAAAGTGGCCCGCACCCTGTGATTTATCGATCGGGATTTCAAAAACAAGCGTTTCGCTCGAGACATCCTCAAATTTTAATTCGCCGGCCTCCTTCGACCTCGTTATTTATCAGGGAAAAAATTCGCCGGCCTCCCTCAAGTTGGCACCGGGGGACAGGTTTACCTACTAAAAGAGAACCCTGGGCCCCCGCCCTTTCCGGGAACATCATCGCTGCACCCCGACGCCTCCAGCAGCGGCCGCGCCGCGTCCGCGCCCAGCACGTCCCGCGCCTCGCGCAGCAGGGAGCCTCTGGCGGGCCGGCCGCCACTCCGCGCTGGGGTGGTGCGGGCGCGGAGAGGCCCGGGGGCCAGGCGCGGTGGAGGTGGCGAGGGAGGAAGATGGTGACCAGAAGGGCCCAGGGACACACAAACATGATGGACCCACGAACCCGGAAAGGGATATAGACATGTGGAGCATGGACACGTTTTCATGATACCCAACTGGGCAACACCTCACGAAACATCCCACGAGACACCTCACGAAACAGCCCACGAGACACCTCACGAAACATTCCACGAGACACCTCACGAAACATTTCACGAGACACCCCGCGAAACATTCCACGAGACAACCCACGAAACATTCCACGACGACAGGCAACCACTCAACCAAGGCGGTGTGGTCGTGCTGGGGAGTGGTCGTGCTGGGGTGTGGTCGTGCTGGGGGGTGGTCGTGCTGGGGGGTGGTCGTGCTGGGGGGGTGGTCGTGCTGGGGGGTCGTCGTGCGTGCTGGGGCGTGGTCGTGCTGGGGCGTGGTCGTTCTGGGGCGTGGTCGTGCTGGGGCGTGGTCGTGCTGGGGTGTGGTCGTGCTGTGGTAAGGTCGTGCTGGGGTGCGGTCGTGCTGGGGTGTGGTCTTGCTGGGGTGGGGTCGTGCTGGGGTGTGATCGTGCTGGGGTGGGGTCGTGCTGGGGTGTGGTCGTGCTGGGGTGTGGTCGTGCTAGGGTGGGGTCGTGCTGGGGTGGGGTCGTGCTGGGGAGTGGTCGTGCTGGGGTGTGGTCGTGCTGGGGTGTGGTCATGCTGGGGCGTGGTCGTGCTGGGGTGGGGTCGTGCTGGGGTGGGGTCGTGCTGGGGTGGGTTCGTGCTGGGGTGCTCCGCACCCTGTGATTTATCGATCGGGTCGTGCTGGGGTGTGGTCGTGCTGGGGTGTGGTCGTGCTGGGGTGTGGTCGTGCTGGGGTGTGGTCGTGCTGGGGTTGTGGTCGTGCTGGGGTGTGGTCGTGCTGGGGGGTGGTCGTGCTGGGGGGTGGTCGTGCTGGGGGGTGGTCGTGCTGGTCGTGCTGGGGCGTGGTCGTGCTGGGGCGTGGTCGTGCTGGGGCGTGGTCGTGCTGGGGTGTGGTCGTGCTGTGGTGAGGTCGTGCTGGGGTGTGGTCGTGCTGGGGTGTGGTCTTGCTGGGGTAGGGTCGTGCTGGGGTCGGGTCGTGCTGGGGTGTGGTCGTGCTGGGGTATGGTCGTGCTGGGGTGGGGTCGTGCTGGGGTGGGGTCGTGCTGGGGTCTGGTCGTGCTGGGGTGTGGTCGTGCTGGGGTATGGTCGTGCTAGGGTGGGGTCGTGCATTTCGCTCGAGACATCCTGCCAAAATTCCAGGAAATCGTACAAAAACAAAGGAATTAGTCGAGACATCATCGAAATTCCTTCGCGCGGGGCGCTTTTCCGCGTCGCGGTCGGCTCTGCAAAACAAGCGTTTCGCTCGAGACATCCTCGGCAAACTCTGCGGAGCAAGCGTTTCGCTCGAGACATCCTCAACACACGAAAAAGTGGCCCGCACCCTGTGATTTATCGATCGGGATTTCAAAAACAAGCGTTTCGCTCGAGACATCCTCAAATTTTAATTCGCCGGCCTCCTTCGACCTCGTTATTTATCAGGGAAAAAATTCGCCGGCCTCCCTCAAGTTGGCACCGGGGGACAGGTTTACCTACTAAAAGAGAACCCTGGGCCCCCGCCCTTTCCGGGAAAAAATTAGGCACGCATTCCAGGAATACCCCATTCATTCAAATCTTCTCTGGGCTGTCGTCTTCCCCCCACCACTTCATATATGGGAAAACTGGGAGTCGACGATTCATTGTGTCTGTGTGTTTTTGTTCCTCCTGAGTGGCGGGGGATGGGGATGGGATTCTTGACATCCACTGCCGCCCACAAGCAGATTGGACAAAACAAAAAAAGGCTCGAAAGGAACCCCGACCCTCTTCGGGTGGAGTCCTTTCCCGAGCTTCCTCCGGCTCTCGCATGTGTGAGGACGAGCGAAAGGCTTGCACTGATCAGCAAACTTTGCGAGGCGTCCTCCTGATGTGAGCGCTCCGCACCGCCGACAAATACGCACAAAAGACTCATCGCTGCAGTCCAACAGGAGGGCGCGGAGGTGGAGGAGGAGGATGGGGAGGAGGAGGAGGAGGAGGAGGAGGAACAGAAGGGGTGGGAGAAGACGGAGCACGAGCAGGAAGAACAGGATGCGGAGGGGACGGGGCGGGAGGAGTCGTGGGAGAAGCACCAGGCGCGGGCGGGAATCGAGGGGACTCGCAGAGAGGGAGACGGCGGGGGACGGGGCGGAGGCACGAAGGCTTCGCACGCCCCCCGTGTGACGGCGGGCAGGGCAGCTCGCGCGATCTCGTCGCCGACGACCCCGACGGAGCCAAGGGCGGGGGTTCTCGCGCCCACGTCCGTCGACGCGAACTGCGCGCGCCGAGGCCTGCTCTCTGACAGTCCCCTCCTCCTCCTCCTCCTCCTCCTCCTCCTCCTCCTCTCTCCTCCCCTCCTCCTCCTCCTCCTCCTCCTCCTCCTCCTCCTCCCCCTCCCCCTGCTCCTCCTCCTCCTCCTCATCCTCCTCCTCCTCCCCCTGGAGCTCCCTGAGATCCGGCAGCTCGAGCGGGTGCATCGGGCGCTGCGGCCGCTGCAGCGCTCTGCGGAACGCTCTGGATAGATTTATCCTGGCCCGCCCGACCTGAGCCCGGAGTGAGCCCCCATGGAGGGCGTTCGGCCATGAACGCTGGCATTGGCGTCGCCGCTTCGTCAGGCGGTACGAACCTGCCACGGACGGCAAGGTCGGCGACGTGACGATGGGAAACGACGGCCAGCGGCCTCCAGGAGGCCACCAGGGACGGCGTGAGGATGGCAGCTGCGGGTGGGGGACGGATCGGGGCAACCATGTCGGGGGCAACTTCGAAAAGGCTACGGCCAAGGCGAACACACTCCTCCCGCTCGTGATCCCCCTCCCCCTCCTCCTCCTCGTCCTCTTCCTCCTCCTCCTCATTCCTGCCCCTTCCCCCCCCCGCTTGCTCGATCAGCTGCCCCTCTTTCTCCTCATCCTCCCGCTCCACCTGCCGACGCTGCCCTTCCCCGCGGGGGCCGCTGTCGTGCCCGTGGCGCTTCAGCGGGTGCCCCGCCCTGTGCGCTGCCACCGCGGCCTGAGGGAAGGTCGACGCGGCGAGAGGCTTCGGTGCGCCCGGCTGTCCGCTCCAGACTCCTCCGCCCTTCCCTGCTTCCCCCGCGCCTCCGGCTCCTCCGCCTCCCCCGGTGCCTCGCGCTCGCAGCCGCGAGACATCCGAACGACGGCTGCCTCTCTTGGCACAGAAGCCAGAGCGAGGAGGAGACGGCCACGACCGCTTGGCTCAGGGAGCAGCCACTGGCGCCCCCCAATCAGGGGGACGTAAGACCTGGGTACAGGGGACTCGGAAATCCCCGACGAGGTCGTCAAACATGATGGACCCACGAACCCGGAAAGGGATATAGACATGTGGAGCATGGACACGTTTTCATGATACCCAACTGGGCAACACCTCACGAAACATCCCACGAGACACCTCACGAAACAGCCCACGAGACACCTCACGAAACATCCCACGAGACACCTCCACGAGACACCTCACGACGAGACACCTCACGAAACATTTCACGAGACACCCCGCGAAACATTCCACGAGACACCCCACGAAACATTCCACGACGACAGGCAACCACTCAACCAAGGCGGTGTGGTCGTGCTGGGGAGTGGTCGTGCTGGGGTGTGGTCGTGCTGGGGGTGGTCGTGCTGGGGGGTGGTCGTGCTGGGGGGGTGGTCTGCTGGGGGTCGTGCTGGGGCGTGGTCGTGCTGGGGCGTGGGTCGGGCTGGGGCGCGGTCGTGCTGGGGCGTGGTCGTGCTGGGGTGTGGTCGTGCTGTGGTAAGGTCGTGCTGGGGTGTGGTCGTGCTGGGGTGTGGTCTTGCTGGGGTGGGGTCGTGCTGGGGTGTGGTCGTGCTGGGGTGGGGTCGTGCTGGGGTGTGGTCGTGCTGGGGTGTGGTCGTGCTAGGGTGGGGTCGTGCTGGGGTGGGGTCGTGCTGGGGAGTGGTCGTGCTGGGGGGTGGTCGTGCTGGGGTGTGGTCATGCTGGGGCGTGGTCGTGCTGGGGTGGGGTCGTGCTGGGGTGGGGTCGTGCTGGGGTGGGTTCGTGCTGGGGTGCTCCGCACCCTGTGATTTATCGATCGGGTCGTGCTGGGGTGTGGTCGTGCTGGGGTGTGGTCGTGCTGGGGTGTGGTCGTGCTGGGGTGTGGTCGTGCTGGGGTGTGGTCGTGCTGGGGTGTGGTCGTGCTGGGGGGTGGTCGTGCTGGGGGGTGGTCGTGCTGGGGGGGTGGTCGTGCTGGGGGGTGGTCGTGCTGGGGCGTGGTCGTGCTGGGCGTGGTCGTGCTGGGGCGTGGTCGTGCTGGGGTGTGGTCGTGCTGTGGTGAGGTCGTGCTGGGGTGTGGTCGTGCTGGGGTGTGGTCTTGCTGGGGTAGGGTCGTGCTGGGGTCGGGTCGTGCTGGGGTGTGGTCGTGCTGGGGTATGGTCGTGCTGGGGTGGGGTCGTGCTGGGGTGGGGTCGTGCTGGGGTCTGGTCGTGCTGGGGTGTGGTCGTGCTGGGGTATGGTCGTGCTAGGGTGGGGTCGTGCATTTCGCTCGAGACATCCTGCCAAAATTCCAGGAAATCGTACAAAAACAAAGGAATTAGTCGAGACATCATCGAAATTCCTTCGCGCGGGGCGCTTTTCCGCGTCGCGGTCGGCTCTGCAAAACAAGCGTTTCGCTCGAGACATCCTCGGCAAACTCTGCGGAGCAAGCGTTTCGCTCGAGACATCCTCAACGCACGAAAAAGTGGCCCGCACCCTGTGATTTATCGATCGGGATTTCAAAAACAAGCGTTTCGCTCGAGACATCCTCAAATTTTAATTCGCCGGCCTCCTTCGACCTCGTTATTTATCAGGGAAAAAATTCGCCGGCCTCCCTCAAGTTGGCACCGGGGGACAGGTTTACCTACTAAAAGAGAACCCTGGGCCCCCGCCCTTTCCGGGAAAAAATGACGAGGCCGAGCCTGCATTTTGACGAGGCCTCCCGCTGCAGACATCCCACGAAACTCCTCCTCGTCAAAATCCGAGGCGCGGTCGTCAAAAAACGATGGCGAACCCGAGTCCTGGCAAACCCAGGTCTTACGCTCCCTCGACCCAAGGCCGACCCCGACCCCCCAGAGGTGATGTCCTGCACGCGGCACCCGACCTATCGGGCACCGCGCGCAGGGCATGGCCGCTGGAGGGCCGGGGCCAGCCTTTTGGGGGGCGCCAGGGGGGGATATCTCGGACCAGCGGTTTATGGCTGTCTTTTTCTTCGCACAGGACATGAAAGCAGAAACGACAAGGAACAGGATAACGATGGCAGACACGGGGAACAAGGTACCTCAAGAGGGGAGGGCAGAGAACAGCGCCCATGTCGCGGATCAGGAAAAGGTCCCCTGGGACGTCGACATCCCTGGTATCTACGCCCCTGAGGAAGAGAGGCAACGCCCGGGCGATCTCGTAACCGACTGAATCAGCAAGCGTGCTTCACTGAAGCGGCGGATATTTCTTGGCATGAGAAGTCGCCCGCAGTCGATCCTCTTGGAGCCCTTGCAAGATGAGGTGCTGATAGTCTCCAGGACACATGCCCCCCCCCCACACCGATTCTGCTGCTGGACAACCCTTCCTACACCGCTGAAATGGACACTGGAAGGCGTGGTCGGCTTCGAAGCCCTGGAGCCGAACCTGCCCTGTTGGGTGTGATGGCTCTTCGTACCAGGAAACTGAGTAAGACGCTGGATCTGAGGAAAAAACAAGCATATGGAATGTGCCTGCTGATGGTGACTCCGTGAGGGATGCTCCATCAGAAAAATTCTGGCCAAGGCGCCCTTATACTGAGGAGCGCTACCAGTGCGAAGCATCGGATTTCCCACCCGCAGTAAGCTTCCACGGTCCGTGAGCACCAACAAACCCCAGGGGTGCACAACACTTCGAAGGGGTCATGGGGCGACGGGTGCCAGGGCAGCTCAGGAGTCGTGCCGCCGACCATGTCTCGCAAGAGGGCAGCCATAACTCCGCATATGCACCCAAGCCGAAGCCTACATAGCCACTTCCACACAATAACAGCATCGCCACCAAGTATCCGAGCAAGTTTATCATTCCAGATGTGCAAAGTTGCAAAGTCAGGACAGGCATTCGCAAGCCAATGACATCGGCTCGGTGGCCAGAACAGCCCTGCAACTCCTGCGAACGACAGTGGTCCGAGAAGAGACGGAGGAAGACAAACTGTGTCTTGGCCGCTGGCGGGATAACATTGTCCGATGGCGGGAAGGGTGGGTAATGCACCGTGCACCTCTCGCGCGCCTCGTGGCCCACGTTGGCAATTCGGACGGCGTTAAGTCGGGGATGGACAGACCCCCCTTTAGTAAAACGTGGTTTAGTGAAAACGACCTGAGGCCCAAACCTGGCGAGCGCAAGCCTGGAAAATAACTGCCACGGCGCCCTCTCGAGAACCGAAAACGGGCAATTCACTAATCGACGTGTCACTGTTGAGGGTTGTGTCCACCCCCGATTAAGGGCCCCTATCTATAACGACAACCCTCCTGCAACTCGATCCAGCCAACGCTGACGGCCAGGAACTTTTGTTGCCTAGCGTGTCGCGGCGGCGGCTCCCCGGCGACACACCTGTGCCTTCCGAGCGGAAAAAGCGCGTGGCTCCGCTCCACCGGACGGGACGCTCGGAGAGGCTCGTGACGTTACCTGTTGGAAGTGAAGGATTGGTCGTAGTGCTAGGTCGGGCATGTCCTCCTACAGGCGGATTTTGGCAGACGAGTAAACCAATATTCAAAAACAATACCTTGAAATAGTCAAAGGAGCACGAAAAAAATCGTCGCCAGACAAGTGCTCTACGATTCTTGACTATTTCTACATGCCCGACGCAATGTGAGGAGAGAAATGATCGTGTGGGAAGGCAGGGGTTGGGAGGACGACGGGGTATGAGCGATAGCATCTGGATACAATGCACGATACGTTCGGCCGCCTACGGGTATCAGGGGCGTCCAGGAGGGGGGCGTCCAAGAGGGGGGGGGCGCAAATCATGGCCGGTGGCACGTGCGCGGCCCAAGGTGGGGCCGGGAACGTCATGAAATGAGAAGAGGCGCCATACAATCTGGGGAGATAGCATGGCCCCCGCGATGATATCCCCCCGAGTAGGCACCCTCCTCTTGGCCGGCCGAGGGTGGTGATATCTTCATTTCTCCCCACCCCATCCTCCCAACCCGATCGTTGTCCTGGTAATCGTAGCGCGTCGTGCCGAAGCGCGGCGTGGCCAGCCCCAGCGCCGCGCGACGCGGCAGGCACAAAAGTGCTCCTGACAGTTTCTGCCCTCCCGCGGTGGGATCCGCCCGAGAGGGGACCCAACATCCTGTCGTGGGGCAGCCTCGCTCGGGGCAGGTCCTCATGCTCATGCTGACTGGGGGCCAGGGCTGCGCGAGACATGACCACACGAAGCTTGATAGCCTTAGGGAACAAATCCAAGTCGAGGCATCCTCCTCTTCCTCACCCTCCTCCTCCTCCTCCTCCTCCTCCTCCTCCTCCCTCCCCCTCCTCCTCCCCTCCCCTCCCCCCCCTCCCCCCCTCCTCCCCCTCCCCCTCCTCCTCCTCATCCTCCTCCTCCTCTCTTCTTCTTATGTTCCTTCTTCTTCTTCTTCCTCCCTCCTCCTCTTCCTCCTCCTCATCCTCCTCCCCTGCTCCTCCTCTCACTCCTCCTCCTCCTCCTCCTCCTCCTCCTCCTCCTCCTCCTCCTCCTCCTCCTCTCCCCTCCCCCTCCTCCTCCTCCTCCTCCTCCTCCTCCCCTCCTCCTCCTCCTCCTCCTCCCCTCCTCCTCCTCCTCCTCCTCCTCCTCCTCCTCCTCCTCCTCCTCCTCCTCCTCCTCCTCCTCCTCCTCCTCCTCCTCCTCCTCCTCCTCCTCCTCCTCCTCCTCCTCCTCCTCCTCCTCCTCCTCCTCCTCCTCCTCCTCCTCCTCCTCCTCCCTCCTCCTCCTCCTCCTCTCCTCCTCCTCCTCCTCCTCCTCCTCCTCCTCCTCCTCCTCCTCCTCCTCCTCCTCCTCCTCCTCCCTCCTCCTCCTCCTCCTCCTCCTCCTCCTCCTCCTCCTCCTCCTCCTCCTCTCAAGCAACTTGGGCTCGAGCACCATTTTGGCCGCTCGCTCGCCCACCCGCGGTACCTGCCCGAGGTGCTTGAGGCACACCGCTGCCGTTGGCGCGCGGATCGCGTGCCAGCTCAGAGCGGTGACCGAATCCGCGGATCCCATGTCGGTCAGACACTGGTCATGTTGCAAGGGCTGTGGGCAGAACGAATACAATGATAGGCTCGAGCAGAGAGACATGAAGTGTGGTCGATGTGGACGCAAAGTCAAATTATATGTACCATCCCCGAAGAAGAGCATCCTGAAGAGGGTATCCTTCGACGACGGCGCCAGTGGAGGTGGAGGCAGTGCTGCATCCACGCCCAAGAGCTCACCGAGGGGTAAAAGCATTGGCGTAGAGGACGATGTCATCAGTCATCTTCGCTCGGCATTGAAGGCAGCAAAGGACCCTCACATGCGGCAGCGTCTTGAGCAACAGATCAAGGAGGCTCAAGAGACCAGCAGCCACAGTTCCACAGGGTCAGTTTTGCAGGCACTTCAACGTGCCGATGGTGCTCTTCGTGACGTCAACAATCGGCATGATCAATCGGTCCAAGCAGTCGCTCGTCTTCAGAAGAACCTAGCGGCGGCGCAGGCCAAGGAGCAGAAGCTCGCGATCGAGGTGGCGGAGGCCGAGGCTGTTCGCAAGCAGGCTGCGGCGGTGCTGGCGTCCCAGGAGGGAATCGCCAGCGGGCGCCCAGAGGCAGCCCAGCCGCAGCAGGAGGGCCAGAAGAAGCCCTTCGGATTGCATTGGGATGAGCAGCTATTTCGGGACATCGAGGACCTCGATTGCGAGCAGAGTGAGAAAGATGAGTTGTTAAAGATCCGCCAGGAACTAGCCGACACGCAGAAGACGTTGGAAGGGAAAGCGGATCAGGTCGCTTCGTGGGTCGAGAAAGCCAAGAAGATGCAGGCCGACATCCAGGAGCGGATCGAGAAGAAGAGGAAGCCAGACGTGGACTCACCTGCGGCCGCCGCCACAGCTGGCGAGAGCAGCGCCACGGGCAGTGCCACGGAGGCTCCTCCACAGGGCGCAGCGCCCTCGGCGCAGCATGACGCAGCCGCCGAGGAGCGCGCGGCTCGCATCCAGGCTGAGGCCGAGCGGATCTCGCAGGCTAAGTTCGCCGCGATGCAGCAGAAGGAGCGTGAGCAGCAGAAGCAGATGCAAGGGGACACCGTCTCATCTTGACTATCTGTAGAATCGGCTGATTCGAGTACCTCACGCAGTACATCATCGTCATCGAAGGAGGCTTCGTCGTCGAAGCCGCATTGCTCACGCTCACGGCCAGGGGAGAATGATTTCACTCACATCTTGTATGGCAACATCACCGCCATGGGTGAGAAGGTGTGGCAGTTCATTCAGGAGGCATGTGAGCACCGCGCTTTTGATTTCTTTTGTCTTGCCGAGACTCCTGTCTCCAGTACTTCCTTGTCTAGACATTGGCTGCCCAAAGCTCGCAAAGCGAAACTCAGAGTCTTCGCCAATCCTGCAAGACTCACAGGTCGCGCCTGCACAGCTCAGGGCGCCGAGCGAGCTACTGAGGGTGGGGAGTGGGTCCTGGCGTCGGGACATCTTCAGGCCCACTCAATGATGCCTCAGCTTGCTCTTGCTGATTTTTAGGCCGACGGACAGGCCGCGACAGACGGATTTTGTGCCGCACTCGTACACATGTCTGGATACTCTTACGTACTTGTCACATTTTATGGGCTCACGGCAGTGGGCCTCGCAGGCGACAACGTGCAGAGATTTAATCGCTTAGGCGCCTTTTTTATCGTCACTGCAGCTCCCGTGGGTTGCCGTTGGCGACTACAATGTGCCTTCGGATGTCCTGCAATCGTCTGACTTTCTCACTCGTGTAGGCGGTGTGGTAGTCAAGGCGCCTGTGGAATACACGTGCGACGCGGGCAGAGAAGGCAGCCACATTGATTACATTGTCAGGTCTCACTCGGCTGTGGCTTACCTTGCCCGCGTTGAAGCTGTGATGGCGGTGCCGTGGAAAACATACTGCGGCCTCCGTATCACCATGCGTTCATCAGGCAAGCAACTTATCACGAGGTGCTTGTCGCTACCTGCACGATTGCCCCAGGTCGCGAGACCCAGTCAGGCGCCCATCCTAGGATCCAAGACCCAAGTTCAGAAGCAACAGCGGTCGGTCCGAATGCAAGCTGCCAAGGTCAAGCGTCAGGAGCGCTACGACGGGCTATTTGGCGACCTTTGGCCTGAGCACACCGACACCTCGGCAGCTGCTAATATTTCTGCAGATGCGGAGCCCGACCGCGAGCCAGACTTGGGACCCGAGGACTTCGAGCAGTTTGATGAAGATCCTTGGGCGTCGGAGCTCAATTTCTGTCCTGACCGCGAGCTGGGTGCAAAGGTTCCCTCATCCACTCTTGACGGCCTCTCGGGGTCCCCAGGTTGTGGGTCTGGGACTGTTGGACCTGGAGTGGGGCCCGAGATCGGCGCGCCTGCCGAATGTGCATTTTCTCCCCAGCAGCAGGTTAGTCAGCAGATCGACGAGCGCCCGTGGGTATGGAACCCAGGGGCGCCGCATGTCTTCACGTTACCTCAGTACACGCCGTCCATCACTTGGGGCCTTGTCACTCCTGATGCACATGATTCGTCTGTTGGAGAGCCAGTCGGTGAATTTATCCCCCCACTCCCCAGCGCGTTTCAAGAGCCGTCCCCCCCAAGTCAGGAAGTGGGCCCAGTGTCATTCTCTATCCCAGCTGAGACCTGGATCCAAGAGAGATCCGAAGTCGGGCTGTTCCCCTCTAGTGTTTGCACTCCTCATGCTGCCTTTGCTTCTTCCGTAGCCGGTAGGCTTGAGCATGGTTCAATCCAGGATGTCTCGGCGTTGTATGCGTCTTGGGTCACCGCGCTCGAACGGACGATCTATGTGCATCATGGAGTGGAGGGGCCCCCATCTTTGGGGCGAGCTCGTGGGTATCGCTTTGTGGTTCAGGAAGTGCGTTTACCAGCCAAGAGTCGGACGGTTCCGTATCGTGATCGACTTACATCCTGGTGGGAAAAGACACACACGGTTCTTCAAAGATTGTACAATCATCGAGCTCGCGCCAACGGTATCATTCAGCAGAAGCAGCTTGAGCAAGCATGTAAACACCTAGGGGACCAGGCTCCTGACGATGGTCATCGGAGACTTCGGGTTGGTTCAGACCCATCCTGGGAGGTTTGGAAACAACTGTTGAAGTCCAGTGCATGTCAGGTCACCCAGGACAAGCTGCAACTGTTGGTAGGAGCCGCAAAGAAGATTGCTGCGAGATGCCGCGCTCGTGCGCTACGGGCTTCGCTAGCTGAGTTTAAAGAATGGATGGCAGTTCCCACGGCAGCAGGCGTTTTGCATAAAGCTATGAGGCAGGACCCTGTACCTTCGGAGGAAATCATCCAAGGGACTACTGTGGTGTTTCAACCTCGGGATGTTGTGGACCTGCGGGCCAAACCATTTCGGGACCTCTGGGCGAAATCAGCCTCAGCTGAAACTGATACGAGGATCATTCACGCTTTTGCAGTGGCACGCGAAGCGGCTCGTGACGACCCGCTGGATGTGCTTTCAGTTTGCGAGATTCGACAAGCAGCTCACGCCATGAAGGCACGAGCTGGGCAAGGCGTGGATGTTTTAAGTCCAACCGATGTCGAAAGGATGCCCGATATTGCGTTGACTGAGCTTTCCCAACTATATGCCGTTATTGAAGAGACACTTGTTTGGCCAGTACAACTTGGGCTCACTATTGGACGGCTTTTGCCGAAGAAAGTTTCAGGGGATCGGGTCATCGGGCTCCTTTCGATGATAGCACGAATATGGAGTCTAGCCAGAGAGCCACATGTTAAGACTTGGGTCACTGAATCCGAGCCCATGTGGGATGCAGCTATTCAGAGCAACGCTGCCCTGCGGGAAGCCTTTTTGCGAGTTTGCGAGGAGGAAGTATCAGGGGCTCTCGGCATCCCTACGGGCCATGGTCTCCTGGACATTCAGGGATTTTACGATTCCATGGAATGGTTTCTACTTATACCAACGGCTCTAAGGTTGGGGTACCCACCAGTAATTCTATATCTCGAGTTATTGCAGTGTATCATGCCACGGTCGTTGGGACAAAGCGGGGCCTACGCCGAACCTATACTACCTACTCATTCCATTGTGCAAGGCCTCCGTGGAGGCACTCGGTTTGCCAGATGTTTGACGTATTTTATTCTTTCTCGTGTCACGGTTGCTCACCCAGCTATGGGCACTAGAATTTGGGTCGACGATTTGTCCCAACGGGTACGGGGTTCACGGCGCGCGATCAGACTTTCGCTCGTCCAAGGCCTCTTGGACACATGTCGTGCTCTCACCAGCGAATGCCTCACCGTCTCACCCAAGAGCGTGGTGCTATGCACCCATCTGGCTGATGCGTAGTTCGTTTCTGAGCAGCTTCGGCCGGCAAATTTTCACGTCAAGCCGTGCACTCGGGCAGGTTATTTGGGCGTGGACTTGAGTGGGGGCAAACGGCATGTACGACAGCAAAGGGTCAAACGTGTTCAAAAAGCCGTCACCATGCACAACAAAGTAGTTCGATTTGCACGTGCTGGCAAAAGATATCATATTACTAGTAAACTTACGCGCGCTGGCACCATGGCTGCAGGGCTATATGGGCACGAGCTCCATGGAGTATTCGGCACTCATCTCACGAGAACTCGGCGCCAGATGGGGCATGCCTGCGGATCAGGGAAGAGGGGACGATGTTTAACCACGTTGCTCGACTTACGTAGTCCAGGAGGAGATCCAGGATACACACTTCCCAAGGCATGTCTCCGTCTGTGGCTGCAGCAGTTTTTGACCTTGCCAACAATACGGCAGGGCATTATGCTTGCATGGCCGAAGATCCTGCAGCGCATGCGGGAAGCTCCAGCAGGGCAACGTTCACGGCTGGTCCGCGGTCCCACAGGAGCTGTTATTCTACATCTTCTGGAGGCTGGGTGGAATCCTGAATTACCTTGGCTTTGGAAGGCTCCAGAGGACCACGAAGGGGACCTGGAGATGTGGAGATTCCCCCCTTCTGAGCTTTCTGGAAACATCTAGGATGACGATCCTGAGCCCCTGCTGGAGGACTTTGGAGCTACTATTCAAGCCAAGTTGTGGCGCGAGGCCGCCCGCCATTTTTGCGGCGAAGGAATGCAGTTTGGAGTTGATACTTTGTCGCTGCGGAGACTCATTCAGCAGCTCCAGTCCGTGCGGCAGGGCAGGCGATTGGCCGAGATGATGGTTTCGATTGCTACGGGAGGGTCCTGGCCGCGTCAGAGGCAGCAAGATGAAATCGCGGGTGAGCATGAAGTTTTGTGTCCCAGGTGTTCTGCTGAGCCCGAAACTCAGTTTCACAGGTGTTGGGGGTGTGCTGAAAATCGGGGGGCCCAGGCCTACGACGACTCAGAGCATCTCGTTTGCGCTGCATACGCACAACATGAAGCCGAGCCCTGTTTTTGGCTGCGAGGGATAACCCCAGCCAGGTGGACCGCTGCACCTCCGCCAACCATGGAGGAGACGTGGCATCTGGTCGGCACCAACGCGACAAAACCACCTGGATGTCTGGGGGAGGGCACAGAGGCGCAACCCCTGATTGTCTTTGGAGATGCTTCAGGAGGCAAGGACTCAGGAGATCCCAGGTTCATGAGGGTTGGTATTGCAATCACTGTGCTGGAGGCTTTTTCTCCGTGTGTCATTCGCGCTTCCGTCCAGGGCCCACTTGCGGGACGTGTGCAGTCTGTCCCCAGAGGGGAAGTCAGAGCTTTTCTTTTGGCCTTGGAGTGTACTAAGGACCATTTGGTGTACGTGACCGACTGTGAAGCGGTCACAAAAGGATTTGATGAGCAGATGCATGCACGGCCCCATGGGGCCAACAAAGATCTCTGGAATGCCATCGGAGGACAGCTCAAACGTCGGAGGGGGCAGGTCTCTGTGTTGTTCGTCAATTCTCACCTCACAGGCGAGCAAATCGTTGATGCAGGTATCCCGTCCTGGTTGGCTGTCGGCAATCACTGTGTAGACGAATTGGCCGCGCAGGCGGCAGAAGCATGCAGATTGCCCGACGAGGTTCGGGCGTCCATCCTGACGATCGAGCGCACGGCGTGGCTCGTCAGGCACCGCCTCCTGAGGGCCAGCTTGGACACGCTGCAGGCCGAGGAGCTGGTGGAGCGCCCCCGAGGGTGAAGGGCCCTCCTCCTCCCCCTCCTCCCGCCCCCTCGGTCGTCCGTGCTTTCGTGTCGGAGCATTGCCTGGACGAGTGTGGGCGCAGGTGCATCAGATGTTTCGGTTCTGCCTCGAGAGCAAAATTGTCTGAGTGGCTCACCTCTCCCTGTTTCGTGCCAGCTGTTGTTTCTGATAAGTTCAGAGGCCTTCCGATGGGGGGGCGGCTCCACGTAGCTGGGGGGTGGGTTGACACGTCGCACAGTATGAGACTGTCGAATGCTCAGAAGGTTTGGTTTTGTTCAGGGTGTGGCCACTTCGCTCATCAGCAGTTGAGAGAGTTGGCCAAACCTTGTTGCAGGCACGTAGCTCCTCATAGGAAGGAGTACCTTTCCAGACTTGAAGTCGGCAAGTGGCCTAAGGTGCTTAGTCAGGCTGAGCAACGTTGTCGCTTGTAATCCGTTCGTTTCGACCACTACGTGGGATAGCTCGCAACTCGCAACTCCTCCTCCTCCTCCTCCTCCTCCTCCTCCTCCTCCTCCTCCTCTTGAAAACATGGCGCGGGCCTGCCGTGATAACCCAGGAGCGCCTGCAAGCGGGGCGCCAGCAGGGATGCTGGCAAGCTCCGGCGGCTGGCTCAGGGCCGCCCGGGCCCCAGGCTTGCCGTCGCTCGGACGTCCATTTCCCGCGCATCCTTCGGTTTGGTGCGCGATTTTTTTGTTGCTCGATGTTCCAGGATGGTCCTCGATGGTTCTCGCCGAGATAAGACTCACGAGTCCGAGCGGTGCCAGGCTGGAGCAGAGCGACGGTGCAGACTCTCCTGCACCGTCGCCCGACGGCGACCCCGGCGTCACTTTCTGACACCGCGCGGATCGCTCGACATTGAACGATCGGCGGCTTCTCGATCGCCAGGTCGTTCCATCTTGGGCGATTCTTAGCCACTGGCGGCGTTCAACCCTCACAAGCCCGCGGCGGGGTCGCCGCCGCGTCGACACGACACGAACCTTCCGCATCGTAGAGCCCCGTAGCTCGATTGGCACGGCGATCCTTCAGACCCCAGGGCCTCCAGGTCGAGAGTTCGTGCTGCGCCTCTACCCCCTCCTCCTCCTCTTCCTCATCTGCTCGTCGTCCTTGTCCCCCCCGAGCCCCTCCTCCGTCCTCATCCTTTCCAGATTTGATGCCCCCAGACCTCTCCTCCTTCTCCTCCGACCCTGCGTGCTGCTCCGCATCCACCCCCTTCCCCCGCAAGCTCCGCCTAAACCGCCCTCGTCCTGCGCCCACCTCACGTCCCCCAAGCCCCTTTTCTCATCTGGGTAATCCTCCTCCTCCGCAGTATCCTTAATAACACCCTCATTCTCATACTCCTGCGCACTCCTCATCACCACATTCTTGCTGACCGTCATCAGCACCATCGTCACCAGCGTCATCCCAACGATCACAATCGTCAACCTCAACACCCCCATAGTCGGCAGCACCATCATCATCTTCACCATGGTCATCGCCATCGCCATCACGGCCACCAGCAACCTTATCGTCAACATGTAAAGCTCAGCACCGTGGGCGATCTGCGCTGACCGAGCCCGTCAGCAACGCGGGCACGTCGATGCGGCGAGGGCGCACACTTTTTCACCAGACAGTGCAGGCGCGGACCAGGGTCCGCGGGGTCGGGGTCCCGTTGGGGCGAGCAGCAGCGTGAGCCACCCAGCTCGACACCCGCCGACAGCCAGCACTAGATAAGCTGGCTGGAGGGAGTCACAAAACGACTTTGCGGTAATCTTCGCACGCTGCATCCCGCGGTGGACACAGCAAAAGCAAGTGGAGTCGCACCTTGGCGATCGGCAGTCTCAAACGCAGCACGAGCCATCGCGGGGTTCCTCAAGACCCTAGCCTGTCGGACTGATCGTCCAGCAGCCACAGCGCAAAATGAACATGGAAAGGCAACAGAGGGGGAGCATGTGGAGAATCAGGATGGCAAAACGGTGCAACATGGTATAACCATAACGCGATGGCTGTTTTGTCCAATGGCGATAACACGTGCCACGGTTGGGGCCGGTGTGTGTGTGTGGGGGTAACAATAACGGCGGCCACGGCGTGACCCCTCAAGACGCCCGGCAACAACGGCACAACAATCGCACGCGTGCACCACAACCCCTGTGTACGGGACAACGCCTGCGTGCACCACAGCGCTTGTGCACACCACAATCCCGACGAGGCCCGAACTCAGGAAAATCGTGGTGGGCCCGGACATATCAAATTCAATATGCGAACTGGGTGTTGATGTTGAGTTGGGTGACCGGGGATAGGGTTACACTGCGTTTTGGGTTAGCAGAGCCTGCGTGCGCTACAGCGCCTGTATAACATGATACCTGCGAGATCACAGCATCCATTTGCAGGCGAGCGAGGGGGGAAGTGAGAAGGAGAAGGCCTTCGCAGAAGGCGGTTGGAATTCTCAGAAGCCCTCGCGCTTTCTGAAACATGTTCTGAGTCTTCGGGGAAGGCTCGGAAAGTCCCCATGGCCCCCAATAGCGCGGCCAATCGCGCACGAAGTGGACACAACGCATCTCCCTCACATGGCGCTATTCGGCTCTACTGGGTGCTCTTGCACTCTTCTGGGCGACTTTTGCGCGCTATTCGACCCGACTCTGCGCTCTCGGGCGCTGCTCGGCAGCACTGAGCGCTGTGGGGCGCCATTCGCCGAGATGCGCTCCACCCGAGACTACAGCGGAAGCTTCCGCGCTCTGCGATCCGAGCTCGTGCCGGCGGGCCGCTGCCCCACACGCTGCGAGGCCGCCTCGGCCCCCCTAAGAGGCCTCCACGCCCGGCTCCCGGCCGAGGAACCTGCAGACGCGCCGGTACCCCGCGGCGGCCGCGCTCGCGAGGCTCCCCTCGCTGCCGACGGAGACCCTGCGCCCGTCGCAGTCGTCGGGCGCTTCGCCACCGTCGGTGAAGTCGAACACCTCCAAAGGAAGGCGGGCACCGTGCTGCACCCCAGGAGCGTACCAGAAGGAACCAAGTGGCTTCGCTGGCCATGCCGGGCCTGGGCCACAGACGGGCCCCACGGCACAGGTCCAAGGAACAGCCCCCGAACCCCCGGGCCCTTCGTGAGCCCAGAGCGGTTCTTCTTTCAGCGTTTGGGCGCGAGTTCATGGAGGGGATAGCAGGGGGGGGGGGGGGAAAGGTGCCCTTTTCGGGCCTCAAAGGGTTCCCTCTGGGTCCTAACGGGCCCCTCCAGGGGCTCTCAAGGGCTCCTTTGCTGTAGCCCTCGCTGCCTCCCCCCACTTATCCACCCCCCCATCAATTCGCGCCCGAGGTATCTTGATTGTAAGCATGCGGGCGCAGCCATAGACTCTCGGAGCTTCCCGCGCGGATCTCTGGGGTCTCGGCGAGGGCCCTCCCTGGCGGCGCCGGGCGATACATGGATGGGGGGGGGGGGGGAGAAAGGTACACTTCTCGTGCCCCAGAGGTCCCCTTTTTGGGACCCTGGAGGGCCCCTTAGGGGGCCCTATAGGGAAGGCCCTTTAGGGGAGGGGGGGCCCCCAGAGAGCCTATTTTCTGCAGCCCTCGCCCCCGCCCCCCCCATCTATCGCCGACCTCCGGCAACTTCCTCCAGCGGAGGCGCCACCGCTTGATACTCCAGATTTCGTAATAAAAGGGAGGGGGTCTGGACCCTCCAAGACAAGCCATTTCCGACCTCCCCCGTGGGAGAACCCGGCCCCAGGCACTCCAAGATAGCCTGGAAGAGACCCCCCCCCGAAATGAGACCCCCCTCCCTTTATCACGAAATCTGGAGTACTCGTCCGCGGGATTCCGCCAGCCTTCTCGCCAGCTTCCACCGAAGGCGAGATGATGGGCCGAAGGCGAGAGGAGGAGGAGGAGGAGGAGGAGGAGGAGGATGAGGAGGAGGAGGAGGAGGAGGAGAAGGAGAGGAGGAGGAGCAGGAGAAGGAGCAGGAGAAGGAGCAGGAGGAGGAGGAGGAGGAGGAGGAGGAGGAGGAGGAGGAGGCCCTTGCCGCCACGCCCCAGGTCGTGGGGCCCAACGCCGGTCCGATCCGCAACATCCGCACCGACCTCCTAAGGCTTAGGTTTCGGTCGGGAGCGCCTGGCTCAGCGCGTCGCTTCGGAGGCCCCGGCGGCACGCTCTGCCCTGCGAGCCGACAGCGCGTCGCCCCGCTCCGCGCGGTGGGATGCCGGGAACAGCTCGGGACGCTGACGCTTCGGGACTGGAGGCATGGTGAGCGTGTCGAGCCGCAGCGTGGTGGGCCAACACCCGTGGAACGACACACCAATCAAACAGTTCCCAACCGCATGGTTGCGTGGTTTGCTCCAAACTAACAAGTGGTGTTGAGTTCAAACTTGAAAAACAACCCGCATCCCCTGTCCTCGCCTCCTTCCCCTCCTTATCCTTCTCCTCCTCCTTCCTCCTCCTCCTCTCATCCCTCCCTCTGCCGTTCGCATGTCCTCCTCGTCGTCATCATCATCACAACCAACATCATCATCATCATCACCACCATCACCATCATGATCATCACCATCACCAGCATCATCAGCAGCAGCAGCAGCATCAGCAGCATCATCATCGTCATCATAAGCGTCGTCATACTCATCATCAGCGTCAGCATCAGAAGTCCCATCAGCATCCTCATCATCATCAATATCATACTCAGCATCAGCATCAATGCCATCATCACACCAGTCATCATCGTCGTCCTCGTCGGTGTCAGCAGCATCACCATCATGACCATCACTAGAATAAGCACCATCACCATCATCAATATCACCATCAGCATCGTAAGCAACATCAACAACAACATCACAATCACAATCATCACCATCATCGTCATCAGCATCATCATCATCCGCATCATAACTACGAATATCACGATTTTCTTCATCCACATCATCATCGCCATCATCATCCGTATCATCCGCATCTCTAACATCAGCATGGCCATTATCCTCAACATCACCGTCATCATCATCACCTCCATCACCAACATCTGTAACACCACCATCGGCAGTACCAACAGTATCACCATCACCATCCTCAATAGCAACAGCATCATCATCATCATTAGCAATATCAGCAACATCTGGATCACCATCCTCATCAGCACCATCATATTTTCTGACAACATCAGGATACCATCATCCTCAACTCGGACATCGTCCCTATCAGCATCAGCTGCATCAGAATCAGCAGCATCAGCATCAACATCAACATCAACATCAATATCAACATCGTCACCAGCATCGTCATAACCACCATCACCATGATAATCGTCACAACCTCCATTATCTCGTCATAAGAATCATCATCAGCAGCCGCATCACAACCATCATCATCACCATCACCAACGTCATGTCACCAGCACCGCCATCGCCATCACCACCACCACCACCACCATCACCATCAGTATCATGATCATGATCATCATCATCATCATCGTCGTCGTCGTCGTCATCATCATACTCAACATCTCCATCGTCGTCATCCTTACCGTCGTCAGCAGCCCATCATCATCATCATCATCATCAACAACATCACTATATGGATCTTAACCGTTGTCGGTATCAGCAGATTCTCGCTTGTGTGTGTGGTGTCTTTCTTCTTCGAGCCTCGTCCACCAGCCGCCTGGCGTCGTCCTCTTGGCCCCACAGGTCGTCGACGGCGAGCGACGCGCTCGGGTCCTCGAGGTCCACGAGTAAGCGCCGCGCGTAGGCCTCGGCGTAGGCCTGGAGGTGGCCGAACACGGACGCGTTGCGCCTGGCGATCTTGTGGAAATCGTCAGCGTCCACCACCTCGCTCCTCCTCCTCCTCCTCCTCGCTCCTCGCTCCTCCTCCTCCTCGCTCCTCCTCCTCCTCCTCCTCCTCCTCGTCCTCGCTCCTCGCTCCTCCTCCTCCTCCTCCTCCTCCTCCTCCTCCTCCTCCTCCTCCTCCTCCTCCTCCCTCCTTCACTCCACTCCTCCTCGTCGTCGTCCTCCATCTTCTCCTGCTTCACTCGCCCTCCTCCTATCCCTCTTCCTCCTCGTCCTCCTCCTCCTCCTCCTGGTCCTCCTCCCTCTTCTCCATCTCCTCCTCCTCCTCCTCCTGCTCCTGCTGCTCCTGCTGCTCCTGCTCCTCCTGCTCCTCCGCCTGCACCCCCTGCTCCTGCTCCTGCCTTTCCTCCTCACACTCCGCATCCTCCTGCTGCTGTTCCTCCTCCGTCTCCTCCCTGCTTCCTCCTCCAGCTGCTCCTCCATTTCCTCCATTTCCAGTTCCTCCTCCTCCTCCTAAAACACCTCCTCCTCCTCCTCCTCCTCCTTCTCCTCCTCCTCCTCCGCCTCCCTCCTCTTCTCATCCTCCGCCTCCTCATCATTCCCTCATGTTCCTCCTGCTCCTCGTCCTTCCCCATCCTTCCTCCTCCACTTCCTGATCCTCCTGCTCCAGCTCTCCTCCTCTCCTCCTCTCCTCCTGCTTCTCCTCCTTCTCCTCCCCTCCGCCACCAGCGATATGCAAGGTATCCTTGCGCACAAGTGGCCACGGCAATGCCACGCACACCACAAGGCCATCTCGCAGGCCCACTTCTTGGGACAGTTGGGGCCCACGATGGTTATTGCGGAGGTGGGCCAATCGATGGAGTCCATCTTCGATGCGTACTCGAGCCTGCCATCCTTCACGAACACCGTGGAAGTGGCCAGGCCGCTTTGGGTGAGCAACTCGTCACCCCACTTCATCGCCAACTCCCTGAGGCCCAGTATGCAGATCCTGAACACGAAGCTGTTGTGTGCACGCTCGTACGATGTGAGTAGGCAGTCGACCAGCGCGTGTCGTTGAAGGCATCGGCAATACGCCTCTTTCTTGAGCTCGGTGGCTAGGGAGGCGGGAAGCTCAACAAAATTTGTCACCTCGGAATCCACCGGCCCCGCCTGCTATGGGGTGCCAGGCCGTGTGGCAAGACTTGCCGTTCTCCTCCCCCTGTTCACCCTGCCCGGACCTTGTCCTCATCCTCCTCCCCCTCCTCCTCCTTATCCCCGCTCCCTCTGCCCTTCAACTCCCCGTCACCCAGGCCCCTCTACAATCAGAGGCGGAAGCGTACAATGGAGATTACCAGCTGCAATGTCACGGCGGAGAGCCGCGGACAACGCGTCCTGCTCCTCCACGTCCTCCTCCTCCCCCTCCTCCTCCTCCTCCTCCTCCTCCTCATCCTCCCCCTCCTCCTTCTCCTCCTCCTCCTCCTCCTCGTCCTCCTCATCAGCCTCCTCGTCCTCGTCCTCGTCCTCCTCCTCCTCCTCCTCCTCCTCCTCCTCCTCCGTCCGTAGCCATTTTGGATCAAGCTCCCTGTCCTGCACTGAACCTCCCAGTGGTGCTTGAGGGGCACATTGCGACACGACAGCTGTTACATTCGTGCGGTTGGCTAGTACAGTGCAAAGTTTTCGGTCGACGAGTTTTGCAAGATTGGTGTTCTGGGTTCCTCCTGAACGTCAATTTCAACGTCCGTCCCAGGCCGAGGGTTGGGTTGGAGGCACGCGGACTTCGAGCCGATCTAAGCCCTTCACCCCTCGGCTTGGGCGTACCTCTTCGGCTACGTGAAGTTCCGTCCAAGGCAGTGGGTTGGGCTGGAGGCACGGGGGCTGCGTGCCCATCTAAGTCCTTCACCCCCCGGCCTGGGCGTACTATCTTCTTTTGCAGGGTCTTGAGCTCATGCTGTTGGAGGTGCTACCTTTCTGGTGACCAGTGGCGAGGCTGTGTGTGGATGAAGCGATCTCTCGCGAGGTAGCCCGGTGATCTACGGTAGGGCCACATAGAGCCGATGTTATTTTAGCTTTGGCGCTGGTCTTTTCAGTTTGGCTGTTGTCTCTGGTGGCTTGCTTCAGAACATAAATTGTCTTATCCTCAGTTTGGCGGCAGTGTTCGATTTGTATGTGTTGGGATCCTGTGTGAACGCTCTGGTGAAGGGGATGTCATTTCAATTCACTTCATTTGTGCTCATCCTCCTCTACATCTTCCACCAGTACCAGTTGTACACGGCTCCTTCGTCATCTGAATGGAGACAGTCTTAATTTGTCATGACATTGTCATTTGACCATTTCCATTTCCATTTCCATGTCCATTTCCTCCTCCTCCTCACCCCCATTCCCCTTGCCCTTCAGCTCCCCGGCACCCAAAAGAACTGCTCTCCTCTCTCCCCTGGCACTGCGTCCTGGCACGGGCCCACCCTCTCCGTGTAGTTTGTCCTTCCTGCACGCGATCTCCCAAGCTTGCCTGTCACTAAACGGTCGTCCATCGGAGCCTTTTCCCGGTGTCTCAAGCACGAGGCTCCCGCTGCAGCCCCAGCCTCATTTCAGGATCGGCGCTGTGCCCCCAGCGCGCTCCGACCTGCGCTCTCGCTCCCGCGCGTGCCACACGCTGTGGACCCGAGTCCGAGTCCGCCTTCCACTGGCCATCCTGCTTCTGCCGCTCCTCCTGCGCCTGCTCCCTGCTGCTGCTGTTCCTCCTCGTCATCCTCCATCCTCATCCTTCTCTTCCTCCTGCTCATCCGCCACGTCCTCCTCCTCCTCCTCCTCCTCCTCCTCCTCCTCCTCCTCCTCCTCCTCCTCCTCCTCCTCCTCCTCCTCCCTCCTCCTCTTCCAAGGTCCAATGTGCACAGCTCCCCTCCTCTGACAGCGCACAAAGCACGAGAAGGGGTCCTGTTTGGGAGCTCCAGGTCTGCTACGACACCCGTCGGCGGATACAAGAAGCATCAGCGCGGTGGGAAGGGATGGGCAGGACGGGTGGGATGTCAGATATGGCGCGAACGCACATCACTTGATCCCCCCCTCTCCTGCCCCCCCTCCGCTGCTCAACTCAGCTCGAGGGGGGACGAAGGGAACGAAAAAAACGGCGCCCCCCACGAATCAAGTCTACGCTGGCCCGTAGTGGGCCCAGCTCTTCGTGGCCATGGCCTTCGCGTCCTGGTCAGGAGTCGGTGCGCGGCAGGATGACATGTAACCCGGTTGGGCCAGTGGGGGCCTGACGGTGCTGGATACAGAGGGAGAGGAACAACTGTGCAAACATACGCTTTCGGCTGTCCGCGCTGGTTTTCTTGGGCCAGGGGCTGTGCCAGAGGCGCCGGCATGTGGGTCCATCTCCCTCTTCCCTTTGAGACGCGCTCCCCCTCCCGAGGCGCGGCTCGTTCGCCGAGGAGGTCTCACGGGTGCCCGGCGGACTGGCGCAATGGCCCTGGCGGGATACGACACCGCCTGGTTCTTCGTCTGCCGCTTGCTGAGGAAGGTGGTGATGCGGCTCGCAACCTCGAGGCGGAGGTAGGAGAGTGGACGCCGACAAAGGGAGAGGAAGAGGAGCAGGAGGAGGAGGAGGAGGAGGAGGCAGAGGAGGAGGAAGACACATTCCACGGACTCAGCCTCGAGGGTGATCATGTTTCCAACCAAGAAACGCCTCATGAACCTCTCGTTCTTCGATCTGTCGTAAGCTGCGGCGCTCATGTGGGTCAGCAAGCTCGTTATCTTGCCAAGGAAGGCAGAGAATACTGCAATGCCGAATAGCAGCATGACACACGCGTAGAAACGCTCCCACGCGTTTTTCGGATGATAGTCGTTGGGCGCTGGGGTGTACTGACACATTGACCAGTGGAAACTGAGTAGGTAACGGTGTGCTGTGCTGAACGGGGCATCCGCCGTGTCTAGGTGACTTGTCCAAGAACCGTGGATGGACGATGTGGTCGCGTCTCCTGAAAGGGAAGTTCATAACCGCAATCCCTTGTCCTCTTCCTCATCCCTCTTCATCTGAAGGGGAGGGAAGAGAGGGTGAAGGAGTGGTTGATTATGGGCATGCCTGTGCCCCCCCCGTATCCAATCAGATACCAGAAGCAGGCCACAAAGTGGTTGAACACAACCAGGCCCACCAGCAATTTGACGACACTGACTGTGCAGCTGAGCCACTCGGAAGTGATGTAGCTCAGGACGTCCTTGAGCATCGGTTAACCGATCCCTATCCCCACTGGCGTGGCCTTGGCTCCACTGGCCGACTTACCCACAGAGGTGGGGATGTATGATCGTCGCTTCGGGTTTGGCCTTAGGTCGGGCATGCCATCCTACAGGCGGATTTAGACGAAATAGAAAAATAGAAAAATAGTCCCAAACACATTGTGACCAGACTATTTGAAACTATTTTTGAATATTCCCCCTGTACAGGGGCATGCCCGGCTTAAGTTTGGCGGGACCTATCCCCGCCTCGGAGGGTGGGCTGGAGGGGCTGACATACTTCGGTGGCAGCTCACGGGAGCCTCCCATACCATCGTTTCGGCTCTTGCGAATCGACGCTGATCGACGCGACATCGACGCTCATCTACGCGGGATCGACGCTAGTCGACGCTAGCCGACGCTAGATCGATGCATGTCTGTGGCCGCGCTAGCCAGCGCATGCTCGCGCGCGCGCAGCGGCCAGCCAGTTTGGCGCAACCGACGCGAACGCGGTGGCGCAGACCGCTCGGCATTTCCCGGCGGGCACTTCCGTGCGAGTCGGCGACGTGGGCGGGTGCGGCGCTCTCTCGTATCGACTCCCGGACGCGGATCGACGCTGGTCGACGCGGAAGACGGAATCAAGAGGGTACTCCAGGCTCCAAGATGTGCCACCGAAACCTACCACGGTCCAGTGGGGGCTGGGGATCAGTTGAACTCGGCGGCGCGCACAAGGGGATAAGGGGGAGGGGGGAAGGCTTCTTAGACGGAGGCTGCTTCTTAGAAGCTGGCCCTGCATCTGTAGATCGGAGGTGAGGGGGTCAGATCGAAGTGGAACGGAGAGCCCCCCTACCGGGAAATCGATTTCGGTTTCGTGTTCGTGCGTGCCGTGCGTGCGGGCGAGGCGAAGCTGCGTGGGCGGGCGAGAGAAAGTCTCCTGTGGCTGAGGCGCGGCCGGACCAAATGACTCCCTTCCGGGCGGCCGGTGGCCCGCGGTGTCCCGCCGGTGTCCCGCGAAAGTCCCGTGTGGCTGAGGCGCGGCCGGACCAAATGATTCCCTTCCGGGCGGCCGGTGGCCCGCGGTGTCCCGCCGGTGTCCCGCGAAAGTCCCGCGGTGTCCCGCGGTGCCCCGCGGTGTCCCGCCGGTGTCCCGCGGTGTCCCGCGATGAAGATGATGATGATGATGATGATGATGATGATGATGATGGTGATGATGATGATGATGATGATGATGGTGATGATGATGATGATGATGAGATGATGATGATGATGATGACGATGATGATGATGATGATGATGGTGATGCTGATGATGATGATGCTGCTGATGATGATGATGATGACGTCGATGATGATGATGATGATGATAGTGATGCTGCTGATGATGATGAGGACGATGATGATGATGATCTGATGTTGATGGTGTCCCGATGATGATGATGATGATGATGATGATGATGATGTCGATGATGATGATGATGATGACGATGATGATGATGCTGATGGTGTCCCGATGATGAGGATGATGATGATCATGATGATTATGTTGATGATCGTGATGATGACGATGATGGTGTCCCGATGGTGATGAGTATGACGATGTTGATGTTGATGATGCTGATTATGATTGTGTCCCAATGATGATGATGTTGATGATGATGAGGTTGATGATGATTATGGCGTCCCGATGATGATTATTATGATGGTGATTGTGATGATGTTGATGATGATGGCGTCCCGATGGTGATGATGATGATGATGATGATGATGTTGATGCTGATGTTGTTAATGATGATGATGGTGCCCCGATGATGACGACGATGATGATGATGCTGATGATGATGTTGATGATGCTGATGATGATGATGTCGATGATGAGGATGAGATGATGTGATGATGGTGTTCCGATGATGATGATGATGCTAACGATGGTGATCATGATGGTGTCCCGATGATGATGCTGCTGATGATGATGATGATGACGATGACTGTGTCCCGATGCTGCTGATGATGATGATGTTGATGATGATTGTGATGATGGTGATGATGATGATGGTGGTGTCCCGATGATGTTGATGTCCGTGATGATGATGATGATGTTGGTGTTGATGATGAGGACGGTGTCCCGATTATGATGATGTTGGTGATGATGATGTTGATGTTGATGTTGTTGATGATGATGATGATGATGATGATGATGATGATGACGTTGATTGTGAGAGCGGTTGTGATATCGATAGTGAAATCGATAGTGAGACCGAATGTGATATCGATTGTGAGATCGATTGTGAGATCAATTGTGAGATAGATCGAGTGAGATCGATAGTGAGATCGATCGAGGGAGATCGATCGAGCGAGACCGATACTGAGATCGATAGTGAGATCGATAGTGAGACCGATCGAGTGAGACGTTGGTTCCTCCCCCCCCGAACCTCCTTATCACCCGAAGGGTGGTCGTATAGGTAGGGCCCGCGCCTTCCGAGAAGCAGGGTTGCTTCTGAGAAGCCTTCCCCCCTCCCCCTTACCCCCCTCTGCACGTGGCCGACAAAACAGAATCCTCCAGCAGTATCGTCAGCTTAACCACCCGCAGAAGCCGAAGAGCGCGGAACAGCACCCGCACGATGCGCGGAGACCTCACGATGCGAGCCGCGCCCAGGCCGCGCCGGTCGCGCATCGTGTAGGTGAACCAGTCGAAGGAGACCAGGAACGCATCGTACACGAACCAAGTTCTCAGATATCTGGAGGCGTAACATTCGGCGGCGCGCACAAGGGGTGTGACGGACGACCAATGGAGAGGAAGCATGTTGCCAAACAAAAATCCAGATGTCTTAAACAGGGTTTTAAACATGTTTAAAACACGTAAACGAACAGGCTTAAAACATGTGTAGAACATGCTTCCTCCATTTTAGAACACATTTTAGATTCAAGGATAGGACTGTTAGGATGTCCATCGTAGTGCAATCCACAGCACAAGGGGGCAGGGGGAGGGGCTCCTGAGAAGGAGGCTGCTCCTTCGAGGCGCCGACCCTCCCTAGCGTGCGGAGCGCGGCGCGAGGAGCGCTGCCAGGAAGCGCCGCCAGGGATGCCCAGTGCAGATCCCAGAAATCCCAGCGCAGATCCAAAAGTTTATGTTAACGCAAGCTTGTCTTTCTTCGGACACCTGGATGCGATCTTGCGCAGCCTCAACTCGTTGTGGTCCGCCTCGGCGTAGCCCGTGCGGAAGTTGTTGGCGAAGTCCCACGTCCAGAAGACGGTCGCGAGGGTGTCCATAATTTCCACCGCCGCCAAGTCCTCGCCAGCAAGGATGCCGGAGGAGTAGGAAAGAGTCCGCGGCCCCCCGCAAATCATCACCTCACTGAAGGAACTGAGAGGTTTTTGCAGGTCCTTACGCGAACAGACACAGCGATCTAAGGCCACGGCTTGCGCGGGCCTCCAGCGATGGCGCTTACGCGAACCCTTACGCGGGTAGCTTACGCTCCAATGTCCGTGCAGGCGACCCCTTTATCTCCCGTCTCTCACATAGGGCTTGGCGCGACAAATTCTCCGAGTCTTGGGTCAACTCCGGCAGCTTCCTCAAGAACTTTTGACCCCTCGCGATCTGGCAGGCCATCTGAATATGCGTTCGCAGATCTTTGCATTTTGCCATTCTGATTTGCCCTATTGGCCCCACCGCTATAGTTGCTAATTCCAACTCGTCCACCATCTTCCAGAAAATGTATCCTGACGGGCATTCGGGTCAACATAGTCTCCAGGACGGCGGACATGGCCCAGTTATGGCCACCAAGACGACCCAAAGAGGCCCACGAGCTCACGAGACGCCCGAAGAGAGCCCCAATTGAACCCCAAAGAGGTCCCACAAGACGTCGCCGCATCTAAAAATGTCTTCAAGGCCCCGACCGTATGCCTCCCTATAGGCCCATCGGGGGTGAGCAAAGCCACTTCGCGAGGCTATTCCCGCCGCCGGCTCCGTGTCCGAGGCGCCTGCTGTGCGTCGGGGGCGGGCAAGAGCAGAAGGGGGGGGGGGGCGCGAATCATGGCCAGCGGCATGTGCGCGGCCCAAGGGGGGGGGGGGGGGCAGGGACGTACTGAAATAAAAAGAGGCGCCATGAAATCTGAGGAATATCATGGCCCACGCCGTGATATCCCCCCCCCCCTAGTTAGCACCCCCCTCTTGGCCGCCCCCGAGCGTGGGGGAGGCGCGTCCTCGAGCTGGAAGGCCAGGACCAGCGGGAGCGACATGATGTCGTACATGATGACGCCGAGGCAGGCGAGCGCGTGCGCCAGGTGCTGCGCCTCCCGCAGGAGCCGAAGAGAGGCGACGCCACCGGCACCGGCGCGGGGGCGCCGGGGGGGGGGGGGGCACCTCCTCGTGGTGTGGCCTCGCCCTCCCCCACCGTCTCGCTCAAGGCATCATACAACGTAGCCAGGGCGAAGACAGCATCGGGCAAGGATCAATCGAGAGTCTCCGCGGATAGCATCGAACATCGGGTGAGGGAAGAGGGTGAGGATAAAATATGGCAGCTCCAGAGAATGTGTCGGGCTCCGCGGCCTCCCCAGAACGTTCCGGAACGCTCTGAGAGCGTTCCGGAACGCTCTGGAACGGACTCGTCCTTGTCCCAGCCCCGTCCGCAGTCACCCGTGCCCCACCCTCGGGGGGGGTATCGTGGACACTCCTCGCTGAAGGTGGCACCCCTCTCAGAGGGCCCTGGAAACGTCAGGGCTGTGTTCTGGGCCTTTCATCGGCGGCGAGCGAGGAGGGGAAGTGCGAAGGAGAAGGCCTTCTCAGAAGGCTCGGAAGTCCCCCGGCCTTCCGAGAAGTTTCCTGAGCCTTCCCCGAAGGCACAAATTCTCAGGAGACGCGAGGCCTTCTGAGAAGTCCCGCCGCCTTCTGAGAAGGCCTTCTCCTTCACACTTCCCGCCATCGCTCGCCGCCGAAACAAAACCACTGGCCATGTAACGGCCAGAGGCTGCTGCGGACCTCCGAGCCGCCCCCCGTCGCCCGAGGCGTCCTCGCAGAGCACGCCCCGAGAGTCCCAACAGAACTGCAGTCGGCGCGTGCACGGCTGCACGGCGGCAGGACGGCCTGGGAAGGCCACGCCGACACATTCTTCGAGCGGGGCGCGGCCAGTGAAAGTGGCAAAGTTCGGTGGCAACTCACGGGAGCCTCCCATGCCATCTTGTCGGCCTCGCGGATCGACGCTAAATCGACTCTAGATCGACGCCCATCGACGCTACATCGACGCCAGCCGACGCTAAATCGGCGCCATCTCATCGACTCCCAGACGCTGGTCGACGCTAGTCGACGCTAAAATGGGAATTAAGAGGGTACACAAGGCTCCCATGGTTATCTACCGAAATATTTCGCGCGGGGCGCGGCCAGCGAAAGTGGCCAGAAGATGGACCGAAGCGAGATGATGCAGAGGGTACCTTGGAAAATCGCTCCTCCTTACGGTCCATGTTGACTGCAGGTGGCGACATCCAGACCCCACCCCTTCCAAACCATGGACTCTCTCGAATCGCTGGGAAGCGGTGGCAAGGTTCGGATTTCGCCGCGTCTCCGACAAACTCAGAACCTGAGGAAACCAGAAGGTACGGATACCGCTACTCCCCGGACCTCTCCGGGGGTGCGCTCTGACTGGAATTTCGAGGCGAATCCAGCGGCGGCGATGAGGGCCTCCCAGGAGGCCGAAAAACTGGAAAACAAGGGAAGGGCAGCGGTACGGGTATCTTTTCCTCCTCTGAGAACCCTGCCCCCGCCGCCCATCGAGTTGCCTGACTCGTGGATCGGCGGTGATAGGTCCTTTTCTGCACATGTACCAGACCAGACCACCCAGATTTATTATCCCTAATGCGAAGACGGGGACCTCGGTGAGGCCACGTCTTCATCGTGTTATCAGGGTTGGGGTCTTTTGTTCTCAATGAGGCGGGGGGGGTTCGGAGGCAACTGCTGGGAGGTCTTCGTCGGATTCAAGAGCATTGAGCTCCATTGGCTGGCTCTTGGGCCAGATTCGGCCGCGGCTTAAGCGAGATCAGGCCGGATAAAACGGGATTAAGCCAGAGTAAACAGGATTTCGGGGCCGCCAGATTAAGCCAAATTGAGCCAGATTTCGATAGGAAGCCAGATTAAGCGGATGAAGCGGGATCAGGCCGGATCAGGCGGGATTGAGCCAGATTGCGCGGGACTGAGCTGGACTGAGCTGGATGCCGGACCGGGGCAGGGTCAGCACTCGACCTCCCAGGAAACGCCTGCGAAGGGGGCGCCCGAGGTCGCCGCCGCAGAGAGAGCAGCGCGGTGGCCCCCCGCAGAGCCCCCCCCTCGCGGCCGCTCTCCTCCCGAGGCTCGGGAGCGGCCAAAAGGGGGGTGTCCAAGAGAGGGGGGTGCAAATCATGACCGGCGGCATGTGCGCGGCCCAGCGGGGGGGCCAGGGACGTAATGAAGCAAGAAGAGGCGCCATGAGATCTGGGGAGATATCATGGCGCCCGCCATGACATCCAGCCATCACCCCCCTCTCTTCCGCTCCCGAAGACCCTGCCCATGAACAGGGTCTGGCTGCCCATGAACAGGGTCTGGCTGGCTACGGCAGGTTCGTGTCGTGCCGACCCCAGCGTTGGTTTTTGACACCGCAGGGATCGTTCAACCTTGAACGATCGGCCGCTGCCGCAACGTCCGATCGTTCAACATCGATCGATTCTGGGTCGCCGGCGGCGTTCAACCTTGAACGCCCGCGCTGGGGTCGCCGCTGGTCGACACGACGCAAACCTGCCGTAGGGGGGAGGATATCATGGCACCCGCCATGATATCCCCCCCCCCCCCTAGTCGGCCCCCCCCCTCTTTTCCGCCCCCCGAGAGGCGGAGAGCGGCCGCGCGCACCGCGCGTCTCCGCCGGGGGCGCCCCCGAGGCCGCGGAGGCCCCGCGCGGCGCCCCGGGGGCGCCGCGGGGGGCCGCGCGCGGGGGCGGGGGCGGCGGGGGCCCTCCTCCCGCGCGCCGCTCCGCGCCGAGGGCCCTCGGAGCGTGGGGCGCCCGGGTTATATCCGGGGCAGCTCGGGTCCGGGGTAAGTCGGGTTCGGATTCCCGAAGAAGGAGCCCGAGTTAGCCCCGACCCGAGTTGGCCCCTGATGATGTGGGGCTCCGAGAGCGTGCGTCAGTGCCCACGTGTGTGTTGCCCCTGCCCCGTGAGGCCCTTTTTCTACGACGAGGGCGACGGGAGGACCTGACTGGCTGGGTGGAGCGGGGGAAACACACCTTGCGCTGACACGCGCCCCTAGGAGCATCGATCCTCCCCCACTGGAGGAAGAAAAGACGGCATATACATGGTCCAGGGCTTGGGCCCCCCCCCCCCCTCCCCCCCAATGCTGATGCCATTGGGCCCCCCCCCCCCCGCGCGATGGTCCCCCCCGCCCCCCCTTGTGGGCGTGGCGTGGTGCTGCGCTGCGGTGCCCCCCCCCCCCCCTTTGGATGTGGTGTGGTGCTGTGGTGGTTCAGAAGTGGGCGTGGCGTGGTGCTGAGAGCTCAGGCCCTTCTTCGTCGATCCATCGTCGCTCCCGGACCGCGGGGGCATCCCCGAAGCTCCGCGGGGCGGAGAGGCGCGCGCCCGGCGGCGCCGGGAGAGGCCCCGCCGGGGGGGGGGGGCATCGGCCCTCCCCCCCGCGCCGCTTCGGCCTTCACTGATGAGCCACGGAAGTGCCCCGAACCTTTCTGGAGGGGGCCCAAGTTAGGAGGGCCACGTTCTGCAGGCGTGTCAGGTCGGACCGCCCAGCTTGATGCTCCCTGGTGCGATAACGGGGACCTCAGTGCGGCCGCGTCTTCATCATGTTATCAGGGTTTGGGCTTCTGTTCTTCTCGATGATTCACGGTCGCTCATGGGTGAGCCCTCGTGGAAGCTTCTGTGGATCGCCGCGGCCGCCTCACAAGCATGACTCCGACCAGAGCTCGTCCAAGTGTCAACCACCCCTCTGCACCCCTCCGCCCAGATTCCGTCCAGATCTCGTCCACCGGTGGACCAAAAACCTGACGAAGTCTGGACGACCCCACCCCCATCAAGCCGCAGGTAATTCTGAGACCCACTGAAGCCCTCATGGAATAACGGAGGATCTGGCGACCACAATCACCGACTTTGGGGGGGGGTTCGACTGGACCAAAAACGTGGGCCCCAACTCTGGGATGTACAATGGGGGGGCGCCCAGCCTCGATAGGGGTGCGTCCGAATAGCTCCCTGGGGGTGTACCCCAGGGTTTCCCCCTTCCGCCTGAGCGGCCAAACTTTTCGGGCGGAGCTCGGGGCTGGAGGGAGAGAAATCGCCTGCGATGATTCACGCCGGCTTTGTCGCCCGGTTTCGGGCCCCAGGATCCACGCGGCTCCAGCGGGCTCGAAGAATGACGCAGCGAGATCGGGGATCTACTGATGTGGGTCAACCCAGACCCAGGTTAGTCAGGCTTTGCAGGATCCTGCAAGATCCTGCAAGATCCTGCACGCTACAGCACGGGTCAATGCAACCCTGGCCCTGCAGGATCCTGCAAGATCCTGCGCTCTGACTGACCCTGTTTGCATTGACCCCGTTGAGCCCTGAAAGGGTGGGGTCGCCGGGGTTCTGGTTGTGATTGTTCTCGATCTTGCATTTTTGTTCGATGCCTCGGATGTCAGAGTCCGCCTCTTCACCGCCTGCTGTCGCTGCTCCTTCTCCCTGCTGCTCTCCGTCTCTGAGAATCGTTTAACCGACCCCCATCCCCGCGGGCGTGGCCTTGGCACCACTGGCCGATCTACTTCCCTGTATGGGGGTAAGGCTGCCTCCTTCGAGCTTCGAGGGGCATTTCCCCAACCGGAGTGGTTGGATGGCGGGGGTCGGGATGGGGATGGGGATGGGGATGGGATGGGTCAAACGATACCGAGTCTCCTCCTCCTCCTGTTCCTCCTTCGCCCCCCCCCGCCCTCTTCGCAGGAGCTCCTCCCCCCCCGCACCCTCCTCCTCCTGCTCCTCCGGCACCTTCTTGTACAGGCCTCCGACTCGTCGTGGCTTTCTCACCACCGTGGCCCAGGAGCTCGCCATCGCTCGGACGTCCGTTCCCCGTGTTTTTTGTTGGTTTCGTGCGTGGCTTTTTTTCGCCAAAGAATTCAGGATGCTCCTCGATGGCCCTCGCCGAAGGAAAAAGGCACACGTCCGAGCGATGCCAAGGGAGAGGGGCCATGGGGGCACCTGGGAAAAACAGCGGCGCTGCTCCCGCCCATGGGCTGTGTTGCTGGCCGGGCACCGAACCAGGCTTCATCACGATGAGCTTGAGGACCGGGTGCCCGTCCTGGAAGACCTCGGGAGCGGCCAAGAGGGGGGTGCCCAAGAGGGGGGGGTGCAAATCATGACCGGCGGCATGTGCGCGGCCCAGGGGGGGGGGCCAGGGACGTAATGAAGTAAGAAGAGGCGCCATGAGATCTGGGGAGATATCATGGCGCCCGCCATGACATCCACCCCCCCCTAGTCATCACCCCCCTCTTTTCCGCTCCCGAAGACCCTGCCCATGAACAGGGTCTGGCTGCGCTCGACGGAGAACCTGCTCCGGCAGACCGTGGGCCTGGCCCCGCACTCCGACACGTACTGGTCGCTGCCGCCGGGCATGCTCTTCGAGGTGTCTCCCAGCTCCCACCTCCCCCAGCGCTCGTGAAGTTCGACCAGCGCACCGGGCTCGGTGATCACCGAAGAGCGGCCCAGCCTGACAGGCATCCAAAATACACAGCTCAGCAATATCGGAGTGAGGGGGCCGAGCGGTCCTGCATCTTACATCATCCCTGGGTGCATGCCCGAAGCGGCCTGCTCTGGTGAGGATCATCGTTGCTCGCTGTTGCCCACAACCCAGCCGCGAACCACCCGCGATCCGCCCGCGATTTGGCGACCCGCCCGGGACCCACCCGCGACCCGCCCGCAACTCGCCGCGACCCACCTGCGACCCACCTACATAGATGTAACGAGAATTCGGTGCCTGCGGCGAATTCGCTGTGCTGTATGTGTCGCTTGTCGGCGACCCCGTCTAGCTTTTTTTCGCTGGCGCAGCCGACTTTGCCTCGCCGCCGACGGGAAAATATGTTTGTATCTGTACTTGTGCTTATGTTTCTGCATGGGTGTGTGCGTGTGTGTTGGTGTGCATGTGTACGACTCGTAGAGCTTCCCTAAAAAGCGAAGCGGCGAAGATTAAGAGTAATTCGAAAACGCTGGCGGGCTAGTTGACTCGAAAAATCTCGACGGAAATGTTGCATAATTTCGGCCGGTTGAAAATCATGTTCTCGAAAATGAACAACTCGTTAGAGCTCTGAAATTGTTCCCCCCATCTTTGATCTCATTCCCGCTTGTCATCTTGATATCCGGTCGATCGGGTGGATACTACTCCCCAACAAAAAACACTCAGGCGGGATCGGGTGTTGAGTGTCATCTTGGCAGGTGCTGTCGGTTTTGTCCACCAAATTCGAATCGTAGATGACCTACAGAGCTGTTCGGCACACCCATCGACAGGAAATGCTAAGGAACGCTAGTCTGAACTATCTAGACGCCTGAGATCGGTCTGCTGCTAGAGCTGCGACCAAAAAACTATTTGTACTCTACAATTTCGTTGAGAGGCAATGCTAGTTGTATTTGCTGAATTCGAGCCGTAGGCAAGCTACGGCGCCGGGAAACACACCGTTTAACAGGAAATGGTGATAAGCATTCGCCTGCAGTATATCGAGACGTCTGCGATGGGTCTGCTACCAGAGCTGCGACTGAAATGCTGCTCGCACTGCACATTTGTTCGAGAGATGATCTTCGTTCTGTACTGAATTCGAGCTGCAGGCGAGCTACGGAGCTGAGATGCACACCCATCGACAGGACATGATCAAGAACGCCGTTCCAGCGTATCTAGACGCCTGAGATTGGTCTGGTACCAGAGCTGCGGGCAAACAGCTATTCAATTATTTGGAGAGGCGATGTTGGTTTTCTCTACGTAATTCGAGCTGTAGGCAACCTACGGAGCTGGGAAGCACACTGTTCAACGGAAGTGGTCAGACACATTCGTCTACAGTATCGAGACGTCTGAGATCGGTCTGCTGCCAGAGCTGCGACCAAACACACGATTCGCACTCTGCAGTTTTTTGAAATATAATGCTTATTCTCTCTACTTAATTCGAGCTGTAGGCTAGCTGCGGAGCTGAGATATACACCTATCGACAAGAAATGCTAAGGAGCGCTAGTCCCAAATATCTAGACGCCTGAAATCGGTCTGCTGCTAGAGCTGCGACCCGGCAACTACTTGCACTCTACAATTTTTGGAGATGCAGCGTTGACTTGCTCAACTTAATTCGAGCTGTAAGCAAGCTTCGAAACTCGGAAGCACACCGTTCAACGGGAATGGTCAGACACACTCGTCTACAGTATCCAGGCGTCTGAGATCGGTCTGCTGCCAGAGCCGCGACTGAAACACGACTCGCGCTCTGCAATTTTTGGTGGTATAGTGCTCGTTTGTCTACTTAATTCGAGCTGTAGGCTAACTTCGGAGCTGAGATATACACCAATCGACAAGAATTGCTAAGGAGCGCTAGTCCCAAGTATCTAGACGCCTGAAACCGGTCAGCCGCTAGAGCTGCGACCAAACAACTATTGGCATTCTACAAATTTTGGAGAGGCGGTGTTGGTGTTCTCTAGTTAATCCGAGTTGTAGGCAAGCTACGAAGCTGGGAACACACCGCTCGAATGGAAGAAATCGGTCTCCCGATAGAACAAGTAGTTGTACTTTGCAAGCATCCACCAAGCTGCCATCCTCTGTTTCTCCCAATTGAACTCGAGCTGTGGGCAAGCTAAAGAGCTGTAAAACACATGTCCATGAAACCGCACACCCTCGCGCGCGCTGAATGCGATTTTGCCGCGCTCGCATGCCATTCATTCACACATATATATATATATATATATATATATATATGTATGTGTATATATATATATATATATATGTGGCAAGGAAACTATACGAGTCCCGGGCGGTAGCCAAGGTTGACGGCTTACCGCCAGCTTCCAGTGTGTGTGTGTGTGTGTGCGAAAAGAGGGGGAAAAAACGGCGCCTGCGGCGGAGTTTCTGGTCCCTCACAACTGCCGACTACCCGGCCGCCCCGTCGTTTTTCGCCCCAACTGCGGGAGCAACGCTGCCATCATACATGGCGAACTTTTGGAGGAAACCAAAACGTGCACCGATGCCGCGTTTCCCGGGATCTCTCCCAGGGTGCTTTCTGGCGAAAATTCCGAATCGAATCCATCGGTGGCGACGAGGACCTCCCGGGAGGCCCAAAAAAAGGGCAGAACGAGGGAGAGGCAGCGGCATGGGTGCCTTTTTTTCTCTTCTTGCAGAAACTAACCCGGCGAAGGACCCAGCCGTGCGCAGCTGCGAGCACCGCGCCCGTGCGTCTCGTCTTTGGTGGAGCTCCGCATGAGGGCGCGAACCGCGCGAGGGGTACGCGAAAATGGAACGGCGGCGGCGCGCGCGCGCGCTGCAACTGAGGCCTTCGGCGGACCTCCGTATAGGGCCTTCGGCGGGGCCCTTTGTGTCCGCCCGCGAGCTGTTCGATGGGGGGTGGCGAAAAGCTAGCCCGCCCAAAATCGCCCTTCCCTTACTTTGCTCCCTGTGCGCCCGTGCGCTCCAAAACCCGAGGCCGCGGGCAAAGCGCAGCGCGGAGTCTCCGCTGCACGCGCCCGTCGCCCCGAAGGGGCCCCAGCGACGCGCGCAGGTCGTCCACCGCGCGTAGCAAAGAAAAATAGTTTGCTGGCCGATCGCGGGCAAGGCTCTGGCTGCTGGGCATAGCGACGACAGGCGAACGACGCGCGGGGCAAAGAGAAACATGGAAACAGGAGATCCGCGTGGCGCGTGGCGCGCGAGAGCAGCGCGTAGAGCACCAGCCACCTGTGGTCGTTCTATTTTTGCCATTCCCAACCTCGTGGCGGCCGCAATCCAGGATCACGCATGGGCGACGTCGGCCGAGGGAGCGGCGCGCCGGACAGCCGACGGCTCAGGGCGAGTCTACAGGACCGAGAAAAGGTCTGGCTGCGGACCGCTCGCGCCCAGGCTATGGGGCCACGAAGCGCGTGAAAGGTGCGCTCCCATGGTGCCCCGAGACTGGGCGCAGAAACCGAATGCGAGTTCCGCCACTGGGACCTTCGGTGGAGCTCCATATGGGGCCACGAAGCGCTGCAATGGACGCAGGAACCGCATGCGAGTTCCGCCACTGGGACCTTCGTTCGGTGGAGCTCCCTATGGGACAGCGAAGCGCTGTACTAGGTGGGGGGAACGCAGAGAGGAGGGAGGAGGGGGAGGAAGAAGGAGCGGGAGGAGGAGTGAAAACGCGGGGCGTTGTCTCTTCAAAACCAGGACCCAACACCACAGGATAGTTGGGAAAGGAAAACAACGCCATAAGCATTAACTGTGAGCGCTGCGGATTTCTTGGATCTGCGCCGGACCCCCCTCCCGAACGCGCGGGGCGCGCCAGGGGCGGCGCCGGAGGCGCCGCCAGGGGGGCCCCAGCGCAGATACAAGAAATCCGCGCGCAGCGCCGAAAGTTTATGCTCATGGCAGTTTTTCCTTCTTCGAGGTAAAGGTACCTGATTCTCCTCTGACTTTTTCCCCCGTCCCGTGTACGATTCCCCGAGATGCTTGCGCGTGTGGGTGTGACGGGGTTGCCCCCGAGCGCGCCCGAGGTTGCCCGTAGAACTCCGGCGCTCGAGGAACTGCGGCGAACCGCCAGCCGCGGCACGACATCGGACGCCAGCCGCGCCCCACCGGGGCCCTGGACTCGACGCGCAGACGGCCCTGGGCTGGCAAGGGGCTCGGTGTGCCCTGAGATCCTGGCGACTCCATTTTTTCGAGCCGGGCGTTTTCGCTCCACTTCGCGCCCTGGGGCCCTCACAGATCGGTCCGGCACGAAAGATGACGCAGGAAGCTGGGGTCCAGGGATCCAGTCGCGACTTTTTGCGGTCGGATCTCAGGGTGCACGGCCAGGCCTAAGACAGAAGAGCATCCTCGAAGAGCACGAGACCCTCCGCCGGCCAAAGCGAAGAGCATTCGAGGGCACCCTCCCCCAAGATGCACAGGAGTACCTAACCAAGCAGGGAGAGCATGAGGGCACCCTGCCCGAGCCGACCTCGACCTCAGACCTCGGCCCGACCGTACAAACCACGTCGTTTGGTCGCGTAAACGCCCCAGCTGCCCAACGTGTGGGTCGCTGGAGCGTCTACACACCAGATTCTTCGCCGAGTTCACTGGTCTTTAGCCGACCGATTGATGTGGAGTATATATATATATATACATATGTGAATATATATATTATATATATATATATATATATATATATATATATATATATATATATATATATACACATCGAGCCCCTTCCGATGGGAAGGCTATTAGAGCCGCGCGTACCCGTCCGAGGACCAGGGTGGGCCCGGCTGGCCGGGACTGGCGTCGGTGCGCAGTTGGCGGCTGGCCCGATCCTCGGTCGGGCTCCCCTTCAGGCTCTGCTGGGACGGGCTCGCCTTCAAGCTCGCCTTCCCCACGTCGGTGTCCGCGGGCGTCGACGGCGGCGGCCGGGACTCGTCGAATGTCACGCGGCCCTCGCTCCCGCTGAGCGTCCGCCGGTGCGGGGAGGCGCCGTCGTCCTGGCGGCACGCCCGGAGTGGGCACGGGCAGAAAATTGGCGCGATGCCACGCATCACACAGTCGTCCAAAGCCGACAGAGGCCGCGGTTGGGCAGGCAGCGCGGTGCGTCAAAAAGAGAACGTCAGCGGCGGCGCCGACAGCGAGCCCTGTGCAAAACGGACAGGAACTGCCGTCTGGCTTCGTGCCAGTTCTCTCCGTAGCCATTTCGATCGCACCGATCCTGCGACAGCAGCACCTCCAGGTCCTGAGGACACGAACAAGGACCGATACCGCTGCAGCAGCAGACCCCTCTCAAGGTGCGCTCTGACCAAAACGCTGACAAGAAGCCGGCCGCGGCGACGAGGGCTCTCCAGGACGTGCAGCGGTGTCGGTACCCTTACCGTAGAGGAACAAAGAATACGTGAACATGATTTCTCGGAAGTCCGCGGGGAGCTTCTGGATCGGCGCTGGGCCCCCCTTCCCTGGCGCGCGGAGCGCGCCAGAGGCAGCGCCAGAGGCGCCGCCAGACGGGGCCCAGCCTCGATCCGAGAAGCTGGCGCGGCGCTCTGAGAACTCGTGCGTCCATGCCGCTCTTCCTTCCTCGAGGCCTCCCCTCGGCCACACGCAGGAGTGGCCCTGGGCAGGAGCTGCCACTGGTGCGCGGCTGCGTGGTGGCCGCAGGGGCGACCAAACACACACGCGCGCAGGACGCTCCTGCGCAGAATACGCATTCCACATTCATCGGTAAGCGCCTCCCCCTCCCCCCAATGTTCAAAATTGGCGGTGTGGGTCTGATGAGTTCCACTTCGACCGCAGTCTCTCCCGCGCGTGCCAACATTGCGTTTGGGGAGGGGGGGAGTGTCCACTAATTGCTTCCCCGACCGCGCTCGGCGATCGGGGGACCCCACCCTCCAGGCCCGCACCAAGGGTCACTCCAGCGGGGTCACTCTGCTACGTTTAAGTCGGGCATGCCCCTCTACAGAAGGAATATTCAGAAATAGCCGAAAACCAAATCCGGTAACGCTGTTTGGAAGTATTCGGGTGTATTGTTTTTGAATCTTTGTGGCTATTTCATACCTTGCGTCCAAAATCCGCCTGTGAGCGGACACGCCCGACCTCATTCGGCGGTGGCCCAATCTCCCTTTCGTAAACCATCCTCCAGTGAAAACGACCCAAGACCGAAACCGACGGACCTGGACCCGCAAAAACGACGGCCGCGACGCCCTCCCGCGAGCCCGAAACGGCCAATCCGCCCATCGACGTGCCAGGGCAGGCGGCCCCTCGACCTCTCCGACTCGTGCCACGCGCCGCCGCTCCCCGCCGGCGCTCCGCCAGCTGCGCGGCGTGCTCGGCCGCGAGGGCCTCCAGCGCGCGCTGGAACTCCGCCGCGCGGCGGTGCAGCCCCGGCAGCCCCGGCGGCCCCGGGGGCGCCGGGGGCGCCGGGCCCCCGCGGCTCGCCCGCGGGGGGCCCTCGGGGGGCGCCCCCTCGGGGAGCGCCGGCAGGCCGAGGGCCGCCGCGCCGCGGCGGCTCGGCGAGGAGTCGGGCGTCGCCGTGGCCGCGGGCATGCGCGGCGGGCCCCCCCCCCCCCGCGGTGCCGCGGCGGCGCGCGCGGTGTCGTGGGGCCCGCGGCGGGGGCTGTGCGGCCGTCGGGGGCCGTGGCTCGAGCGCGGCGCGGCGGCGGCCCCGGCGGCACGCCGTGCGGTGCGATGGGGGTGCAGCGCGTGGCGCCGCTCCGCGGGGCGGGGGGCCAGGGACGCGCTCGGGACGTCGGCGCTCGGGGGCCCTGCAGGGCGCAGTAGTTGGCGCGTCGCGCCGAGGCGTGGTGGGCCAGCCTCGGCGGCGCGGCGCGCGGAGCCAAAGCTCCCGGCCGCAGGCCTCCCCATTGGGGTCCGGCCAGGTGGGGTCGGAGGACGGCGTGGCGTCGCCTGTGCATCGGCGATGCTTCGGCGATGCATCGGCGCAGGGAAAAATCGGGCTCCACAACGGGCCGCATCGAGAGGCGGCGCGATCCTCTGACCCCCTCTGTTCGGACCCCATCTGGGCGGCCTGGGCTGACGGGGAATGGCCGGACCGGAGAAGGGCGCGCGGCCGGGGCGAGGAGTCCGCGCGGACCCCCTCCTCTTGAGCCCGTGACCTGGAAGCCAGCCAGGCCGAGTGGTCGGCAACTCACGCGAGCGAGGCGGGGGATCTGCCCGCAACCACCGCCTGGGGGGCCAACCTCTGGGGACATCACAGGGCGGCGGATCTCGGCACAGCCCCAGGCGTAGTCCCGGTCGGAGCAGGGCGCCTCGAGGCAGTGGCAGCGCAAAGTCCGCTTTGGGACCTGGGCCCCTCCTGGGGGTCCCAAGCGCACAAGCTCTCTAAGCTTCATCCCGCCGTGGCGACTGGGGGCCCCGCGAAGGCCAACTACCGCTGCCGCAACTCGCGCTCTGACTAAAGACCCTTCCCAGACCCCCGACGTCATGATTTTGGTCATGAGGCCGACCCTCAGATGCTTCGACCCACTCCCCTGGACAAATTTTTCACCCTGAATCGTTGCTTGACGGTCGGTCCCGAGGGCCGGTGGGGGCCTCCCAAGGCCGAGAATGCGGAAAACCCTTCCCTCACGCTTTTGTTCACTACCCGAGGGAGTCTGGGTCTCAGCTCGCGCTCTGACCAACATCCCCTTCTCGGCAGTGCCCCCCCGTCCACGCCAGCTTCCTGCGGCAGCTCGAGCGGAGCAGCGGCGCCGAGGGAGGGGGTGCCTTCAGCGCGCCGGCATGGGGCGCGCGAGAGGTGCGCCCCGGGCGAGCGGGGCAGCAAGGGCAGCAGGGGGAAGCAGGGCAGGGCGGAGGGCTCGCGCACGCGCGAGAACACAGACGCGCACGCGCACATGTTCCCGTGAATTGGCCGCAGCGGGTAATAGCGGACAGACACACACACACATACACACGCCCGCGCACACACGCACACACATATATATATATATATATATATATGTATAGATCGATAGATATATCGGAGGTAAGGGGTGAGATCGAAATGGAACAAAGAGCCCCCTACTGAAAAATCGGATTCGGTTTCGTGTTCGTGTGTGCCGTGCGTGCGGGCGAGGCGAGTCTGCGTGGGCGGGCGAGAAGTGTCCCGCCTCTGGCTAAGGCGCGGCCAGACCAAATGTTTCCTGTCCGGGGGCTGGTGGCGCGCGGTGTCCCGCCGGTGTCCTGCCGGTGTCCCGCCGGTGTCCCGTCGGTGTCCCGATGATGATGATGATGATGATGATGATGATGATGATGATGATGATGATATGATGATGATGATGATGATGATGATGATGGTGACGATGTTGATGATGATGTTGATGATGATGGCCATGGTGGTGACGATGATGGTGTCCCGATGATGATGATGTTGATGATGATGTTCCCGATGATGATGGTGTCCCGATGATGATGGTGTTGATGATCATGATGATGTTGATGATGATGATGAAGTTGATGGTGATGCCGTTGGTGAACATGATGATGATGGTGTCCCGATGATGATGAGGTTGATGCTGATGCTGTTGATAATGATGGTGATGATAACGATGGTGTCCCGATGATGGTGTTGATGATGCTGATGACGATGATGGTGTCGCGATGATGATGATGATGTTGATGATGAGGATGATGATGATGAGTTTGATGATGGTGGCCCGATGATGATGCTGAGTTTGACGATGATGGTGTTCCCATGGTGATGATGGTTATGATAATGATGGTGACGATTATGATGGTGTCCCGATGATGACGTTGATGATGATGCTGCTGCTGATGATGATAGTGTCCCGATGATCATGACATTGATGGTGTTGTTCATGATGATGCTGGTGATGAGATGATGATAACGGTGATGGTGGTGTTCCGATGATGATGATGATGATGGTGTCCCGATGATGATGATGATGTTGATGATGATGGTGACGATGATGGTGTCCCGATGATGATGCTGCTGGCGATGATGATGGCCATGGTGGTGATGATGATGGTGTCCCGATGATGATGATGCTGATGTTGCTGCTGATGATGATGGTGTCCCGATGATCATGCTGATGTGAATGATCCTGTTGATGTTTATGATGATGACGATATGATGAGATGATGGTGATGATGAAGGTGATGATGATGTGGGTGTCCCGATGATGATGCTGATGAGGTTGATGGTGATGCTGCTGATGATGGTGATGGTGATGATGATGGCGTCCCGATGATGATGTTGATGATGAGGATGATGATAACGATGATGGTGTCCCGATGACTATGATGTTGATGATTAGGGTAACGATGAGGTGATGACGATGCTTTTGATGATGCTGGCCCGATGATGCTGCTGACTCTGATGATGATGATGATGGTGTCCGCATAATGATGGTGATGATTGTGATGATGGTGACGATGATGATGGTGTCTTGATGATGATGTTGATGATGATGTTGCTGGTGATGATGATAATGGCGTCCCGATGATGATGATGTTGATCATGGTGGTGATGATGATGCTGTTGATGATGATGCTGGTGTTGTTCCGATGATGATGGTGATGATGGTGTCCCGATGATGATGATGATGTTGATGATGATGATGATGTTGACAATGATGGTCCCGATGATGATGATGATAATGATGATGACGATGATGATGATGATGATGATGGTGATGGTGATGCTGATGATGTTGATGATGATGGTGATGAGGTGATGGTGATGATGGTGTCCCGATGATGATGATGATGTTGATGAGGCTGACCATGATGTTGACGTTGATGATGATGACGTTGATTGTGGAACGGGTTGTGATATCGATAGTGAGATCGATAGTGAGACCGAATGTGAGATATATCGTGAGATCGATAGTGAGATCGACTGTCAGATCGATGTTCAGATCGATTGTGAGATCGATCGGATGAAATAGATCGGGTGAGATCGATCGTGAGACCAATCGAGTGAGATCGATCGAGCGAGACCGATAGTGAGATCGATAGTGAGACCGATCGAGTGAGACGTTGGTCCCTCCCCCCCCCCCGAACCTCCTTATCACCCGAAGGGTGGTCGTATAAATATATATATATATATATATATTATATATATATATATATATATATATATATATATATATCGGGGGTTGGGGGGTGAGATCGATGTGGAACGGAGAGCCCCCCTACCGGGAAATCGATTTCGGTTTCGTGTTTGTGCCGTGCGTGCGGGCGAGGCGAAGCTGCGTGGGCGGGGGAGGGGAAATTCTCCTGTGGCTGGGCCGCGGCTGGACCAAAAGGTTCTCCGCCCGGCAACCGGTGGCGCGCGGTGTCCCGCCTGTGTCCCGCTGGTGTCCCGCTGGTGTCCCGCCGGTGTCCCGTCGTTGTCCCGTGGTGTCCCGTGGTGAGATCGACAGTGAGATCGATAGAGAGATCGATAGTGAGATCGATAATGAGACCGACAGTGAGATCGATAGTGAGATCTATAGTGAGAGATCGATAGTGAGATCTATGGTGAGATCGATCGTGATATCGATAGTGAGATCGATAGTGAGATCGATCGAGTGGGATCGATAGCGAGATCGACAGTGAAATCGATAGTGAGATGAATAGTGAGATCGAAAGCGAGATCGATAGTGAGATCGATAGCAAGATCGATAGTGGGATCGATAGTGGGATGGATAGTGAGATCGACAGTGAGATCGATTGTGAGATGGATCGTGAGGCACCTCGACACCAAGGCTCCCAAGAGCGAGCGGCAACGCAACGATCTCCACTGGCATTCTTCGAACAACAATCACCACTGTTGCCCATTGCTGGCCCCCTCCCCCCCCCCAACCGCCTTATCACCCGCAGGGTGGTCGTATAGGTATGTCTCTCTCTATAAATATATATATATATACACACCCACACAAGCCTGGAGTCGCGGCCACGCGG